CAATCCTTTATTCCGTGTAGGAACCAAGAACTCCCTCGCACCTTCAGGGGTAGACTTGAACAAAATCGGGGTCTCGACCTCTAAGAACGGTGGTTCACATTCTTCAAGGGCTCGACGTAACGCTGCGTTTGCGTTTGCCCTGAAGGCCAAGGATTGACGAAGAGAAGCATCATTGCGTATCTGCAAATGCCTTTTATTTGGTGGGAACACTGTGTCGGGAGTGATAATGATGTCCCTTGGAAACTCGTTTAAACATCGCACATCCTGTAACTCGACCTCCACGCTGTCAAGCCCATTTTGTTCGTCAAATTCATGCCTTTGAGCTTGGTTTTCCTTTGGTTTCACTATTCCGCGGACGACGACCGGGCTATTCGGCTCAATTGACTTCAAATCATCTAGAGCCTGGGGGTTTGATACCACAATTTGGACACTCTGGGATATGGTAGGATCGGTCAACCGGGCAAATGTCATATTCTTGCCAATCTTCTTCCGCTTGCCAATATAACCGTGAATTGTGATCGATCGTCCATTGTTCTGTTCTTTATATAGGTCCCTAAACGTGATAGACGCGGGCGGAAAATCAACTGCAAGACTCCATGTCAGCATTCGGTACATAGCATTGGGATAGCTGTCTTCACACCAATCGGAGGAACAAATCCGTACTTGTCTTTGAGTACTGCTCTAAGAGGCTCTCGGTCTTGGTTGCATTGCCAGTAGAATAAAACCGGCTGACCCCCTGGAGAGTGCATTTCAGGTGTGATGGCTGTGAAGCTACCCGGCCTCGAAAGTAATTTGATATCTCGATGAAACTCTGCCGGCGAGCAAGTACACTCCCCAATCGCGACGGACAAGCTGCACAGCGCAGTACCGGCACCATCGTCGCCTTCCGGAAAGCCAACCAGCCGACTATATCCTAAAAAGTAAAAAGCAATTGCTGAAGCCAGGCCAAAGACTTTCAAACATGAAGCAAAAAAAAACACCAGGAAGCTCGGGCCAGGGCCATCTCATGATCACGTGATAAGGCTCAGATCGCACTAACGAAAACCTTTTAAAATCGAATTTCTGGCTTCGTTTTTGCTTTCTTCTTCTTCCTTCTTCATCCTTCCAAGTTTTATTCAAGTGAGTATCTCGAAATCCAGTCGGCTTCCATCCAGCTTGAGACGTGTCGTTGTCCATGCACTAACGTTGTAACTTTGTTCCGTCTGTAGATGATGAAAGCCAAGCGTGTGAAATATGAGTCAACTCGCTCCCCTTCGACATGGAAGCTCTCCCTCTCCGGAGGGCTTAAGTGGTTTCCATGAAGAAGGCCCGGAGAGAGAATGATATCGGCGTTCGGCACACCCACCTTGTTACTTCACGAACGCGATTAAGGTTTCTCTGATCAAATATTACTTGGAAAGGCTTTTGTTTCGCTTGATAGCTCGGAGGAGGCGTGGAATGTGAATGGTTTAGCGTGAGCGCCCGAAACCGCTAATCTCCGCGTTAACGAGGTGCTTGAACGCCCCAGACATGAAGTCTCGGGTTGATGGTGCTGTCACAGTGGAAGACGGGAGTTTTCAGGGCGGAAGTTATGACCAATCACTCCAAGGGCCAGGCCGAGGTGTTTGATGAGTTGGCAGAGTACTACCAGCGGAACCGGAGTGATAGTCAAGCCTCTTTATGCTTCTTGACCGGTGGACTGGCAGGAAAACGAGAACGAGAAAAGCCTCTCTTTGCGCAACTGTGAGAGATCATCATATCTGCATCATGTCTGCATGAGAATGATGTATCTCCCATCCTTCCTCGGCCAGTGTCTCACTTGATATTTATCCCACCACTGCCTCCCATGCATCGACGCCATGTTCCGACATTGGAGCCCACTCCATTGCCATATTCCTACTCCGTACATTAAATCATCCCCTTTTCCCATCCTTGATCTTCCTATCGGACGGCCAGGAACCCACCTCCCCGCGCCCCTCCCAGGCACCCATCATGTATCTATCGTCAATAATACTTAGGAACAGCTGCGGAATAAGAAAGAACCCCTGCTCGCTTTGCCACTTCGCCGGAGTGACTATTGTTTGATATACTGCATAATACTGCGCATTAATCCCCAAACAAAAGGCGCCAATGTCTTTCGTCACTCCACGTGACACCGCTAGAGTGGACCCCCTTTTTTAGTCGGCCGTCACGCACGGGCCTTTCCCATTTCCACTTTGATATCAAAAAAATAAAAAAAGGTAGAAGAAGAAGCAAAAACTACGCCGAAGAGACGGCTCACTTTCTGGGGCAAGGGAGCAAGGGAGGTAGTTGGACCAAGCAGCGACAACGGGTGCGCATAGCGAGCAAGCGTACCCAGTCCGGCTTAAGAGGCAAAGGATATGTTTCCTAATACGAAAACAACCGGACAGCAAGTCCGAGCGTCCAATTTCCCTTGGGACGCCCCCATATGGCGTCCGCACATCATGAAAGTGTCTATGTTACATCATCAGCCAAACGATCGATCGGCGTCCGAGCTATACGGAGTACCACAAGAGATCCTCCATGCAAGATTGAACTGTAGCGAGGCACTAGCGCTGAGGATTTGGAAGACGTCTAACGATGGACACATGGCTGCACGACCTTCTGTCGAGATCAGCTTGCGGCGGCGTGACACGCACCTCTGGCGGAGTTTTGAGTAAGCCTGCGAAGCGATAACTTTGGGCACAGAGTACGGAGTATATGCTCTACTTTGGCGGGCGAGAACGCTAAAAGCTACGCAAAAGCTACGCAGATATAGGCAAGGCAACATAACCTAGATTCACGCAGGTTTCTCCTGGCCGGGAACTGAACTCCGTATTATTCATCGCCCTTCTGCTGTACCCTTGTCCCGGCAGGCCGGAGGTGCCTACGTCCGAAGAGCTTGGCTTTTCCAGGGTGGTGGACGATTTTCAGAGATGTGGCGGCTCTCGAACTGCCACTACTGACAGCTGCGTATTTCTCGTTTTAAAAATTTACAGCTGGACTCCGTACCTACACATCTCCTTGCATCGACAGCTCCTGCATCTGCCAGCCTCAGGAATTACACATATCCCCAGAAGTTAAACGGCATGGGGGTTGTTGGTCGTCTCGATTATGTCGTTTTTTGTTCTACTATAGGCGTTTGGTAACCTTCCTTTTTTCCCTCTTCCTCTCCTTTTAGCCCTGCTCTCTGGCCTTATCAAAGTCTCCAATGTCTTCCCTCCAACGAACCTACACAGCAACCGACTTGAGGCTTTCTCTTCTGCATCTTTCAACCTCTCTAGACATGCTGGTTGCTCCTCCAGAGGTTGTTGCAAGTTGGCCAAAGCCAAATTATGTCGACCCCGAACATCAGGGCCCGCATTTGATGATTATCGTGATCACTTCCTTCGTCATTTCGGCTATTGTGGTAGCACTGCGAACATACGTTCGAGTTAAAATCAAGAAAAACGCTGGTTGGGATGACTGGCTCATGTTGAGTACGCTGGTATGAAGCAACGATCACATACCCATCTATATATATATATATATATATATACACACTATATATATAGATACGCAATATCCCAGTGCTGACATTCTTCTTGTCAATGGGAAAGCCTCTTTTAGCTGGAATCACTGTCTCTAACATTATTGGCGTCTATCACGGATGGGGTAAGGTTCCTTTCCTTGCATTTATCTTGGTCTACTTTCCACCATCTGTCTTGCCCGCTAATCCTAATCTCTATAACGGTCAGGCTACCATATATGGGATAACAAGCCCGAATGGGGAGTGACGTGCCGCCTGGTATGCTGGAATCATTTCTTGTTGCTGTCGTCAACATAGGATGCTGCTAACCGTTTTCATGCTACAGACTAGCTGGTGCTCTCAGATCATGTCTGTGGTTGTTGCCACAATCGTCAAGTCCTCGATCTTGGTTTCTTACCTACGGTTCTTTTCTACTACAGCAACGAAACTTAGGCAGGGCACCTGGATTATGCTTCACATTGTGGTAGCATGGGGTCTTGGTATTTCTCCCTTGGTAATAGTATATCAGAAGCAATAGCTTACAATGCCTCTCTATCTCTAGCAACCGCACTACCCCTACTGTTTGTATGCAAGTAGGTAGCTCTCTTGACCCGAAAAAACTAGTAGTATAATCTGGTTCTTCTAACACTTGAACTGCCAGGCCTTTATCAGACTACTGGACGGATCCAACACGCCGGAATTGTATCAATAATGGTGCACGCATCATCAGCGGCTCAGTCCCGCATGTCCTCACTGATATAATTATCTGGATGCTTCCGATTCCAACATTATGCAAAATGCACCTACCAGGCCGCGAGAAGGTGGTTCTTATTATCCTTATGAGTTTTGGTCTTGTGTATGTGTGCCCTGTATCCCCTTTAGTGGTTCTCACTAATATTCCTTTAAACAGGGCGTGTGCAGCATCTGTAGTACGGCTTGCCTATACCTATGTGATACTTTATGTATCATACGATTCAACCTGTAAGCTCATCCCATTTTTCTGTTCTAATCCCCCCTCCCATAGTATTGGAGAAGATACTGATGATGTTTGGATACTTAAATAGGGGTTGGATACAACCTGTGGATATGGAACGATCTCGAGGTCAATTTGGCCGTCATTTGTGCCTCCTTTCCCATGATTCGACCCTTAGCAAAAATGTACCTTCCGAATTGGGGTTCCAGCATATTCACATCATCTGCAGACAGTTTGCCGATAGAAGCCCAGCCGGCTGGCCAGAAGAAGATGAATCTTGTGCTTCCTGAATGGAAACAAGATGAAGAAAACGTCCCGGATGAAAAGGATCCTAATCTTTCGCCTATCAGCGGCCTGGATGAAAAAATCGATCTTAAGGTCCCAGAGCAAGCAGTACATCCGGCGAAACCGCAGCCTGAATAAGAACACAAGGACAATTATTAATACCTTATGTGATCCACAGCCCACGTTGGCCCTAGGATCACCCACACATACAATATACACATCTCAGTGATGATGACAGCCGAAAATCAGCCTCAGCAACAGCTTTCAGAGCGAGCCGCCGCCCTCGAGGCATTTCCAGCGTCCCTCCTGCCGGATTACCGCTGCGACACGGCTTATCGTTAGCCTAAACCCTGCTTATGGGTCTCACTTGCGGCCCCTGAGCTGTTAAGCCACTCGGGTATAGGAGATGCGAGACGGGATCTCGGCATTCTCAGCTGCGCGGGAACTCCTTATCCGAGATCAGGTTATCTGACGCACCTGTCTGCGTGTTGTACTCAACGTTGGACAGCGTTTCAACACGACACCTGAAAGCGTCAGGGTTCACTTAACACCCGCCAGGTGCGGCCATTACCAGTGATTTGAACGTCCATTCCTAGAGTCAGCTAAATCCTAGGAAGCAAACACCTACTTTTCTTTGTAACTATTCTGTCTACCTCAGCCTGTTTAGATATAATAACTACAAGATGTATGGCCAGCCTGGTCTGGTAATATTATTAATGAGCTAGCTCTGTTTGCTACCAGGTCAATAAGGTTGGCTAGTGGGTTAACTAAAGGGCGGGCTTAACTCTTTAACTCTCCCCTCCATATGTAGCAGCTGTTTAAGGGGTTGCCTAGACAAAGAGCATACACAGGTGCATCGCATTCCCGGCTTGTCCTACCACCCATCAGTTGCATAGGCTATGCTCGATATGCAAGGCCGATATCAACAACGACGAAGCATCGTCACCTTGCATGAAGGATTAATAGGCTCTTTCGGAAGGAATTGCCTACTCGGGAGCGGGAATCTCAACGCTGAACGGCTGACTCGCGTTGACAAGATGCGCCCGCTAGTCACCCAGAATACGATACAGGATCGGTCCGTCAATGGAACTTCGGCTTCAGCTCTCGTAACCAACCTGACAAATACAAGAGCCTGCGGAGTACAGATTCCATTATCACCGTCTGCCGGACAGTCGATTGCCCCGCTTCATACAAATTGGACGGAGTTAAGAGATGGCTATATATATCGACATGTTGTCCCGCCCTTGAGGCATCCCCGTTGACACAACATCAATTCATAACTACAACCACAGAAAAGAATTACCCCAAGGCCTATCTGACTATCTATTTATATAGACCTGGTTGCCGATTACCAATAATATGTCTTCTGCAAACGACAAAGCTCTTCAGCTGCGAAACCTGCATGTTCCAGGGAAGCCTCTGGTCTTCGCCAACGTTTACGATGCTTCTACTGCCCGCATAGTGGCTTCCAACCCTGCTTCCACTGCTCTAGCAACAGCAAGCTATGCTGTAGCTGCTGTCCATGGCATGAGCGATGATGACCTGGACCTCGAGACAAACATCGCGTCGGCTCGTCGAATTGCCTCTATCGCTGCCGAATTCAACAAACCCCTTTCCGTTGACATGCAAGACGGGTACGGCTCCCGCCTGGAAGAGTCTATCGAATCAATCATTGCAGCCGGTGCTTCAGGTTGCAACTTGGAAGACAAAGACAACGAGACTGGCAAGCTATTCCCTCTGGATGTCGCCGTTGACCGTGTCCGCCGTGTCATGGCTACTGCTGCCAAGGCAGGAGTTCCGAACTTTGTCCTTAATGCACGCACCGACGCCGTTCTATTGAACAAAGATCTTGAAGATGCCATTGTAAGAGCAAAAGCTTTCCTCGAGGCCGGTGCCACTACTGCTTTCGTTTGGGGTGGACTGTCCCGCGCAGACGTTGAGAGGCTCACGAAGGAGCTTGGTGGAATGTTGAATGTTAGCCTTTTGCCAGGTGGATTGACGGTCCAGGAATTGGCAGATATCGGGGTTGCGAGAATCAGTATCGGCCCACGGATGTGGCGGCTAGCAATGAACACGGTTGAGGAGCAGTCAAAGAAGCTGTTGGATGATTATGCCACCATGCGAGCCAAATAGATGATCATTCAATTCCCATTGAGATAGTGGTTTAAATGAACATATGGATGCTCCTAACAAAAGAGAAATGAATGAAAACCAAAAGGCTCTTCTGATAGGGAACGCTTCAAGTTATTAGCCCTAACTAAGAAAAGAAAATATGTAAAACGAAGTAATAAATGACAGTCGACGCACTGCCTAGCTTTAAATCAGGGAACTAGCCTGCGTTTGAAAATCTTATACCAACAGTAACCCTATGCCTTAAAGCTCATAATGTCAGTATTAGGGGCACACCTCTATCAGGCCACTAGTTAACCCATAATAATACTCTCCACCATCTCTCGCTCTCCGCTGTTTTGCACCAGGCCCTTAAATACACCGTTTTCGATATTCATCAAGTCCCTTGGTGCACCAAATTCAACTGCCTTTCCGGCATCTAACACCAGGATACGATCAAAATCTGCGATAGTGCTCAAACGATGGGCGATGACCAGCAAGGTTGTTGAGTTACGGCCAAATTCAGATCGGATGGATTGTTGTGTAAGAGCATCGGTATCCATATCAACTGCAGAGGTAGCCTCGTCAAGAACCATGATCTTCGGGCGGGATACAATGGCTCGTGCCAGGCAAAGCAGCTGGCGTTGACCCTGAGAAAGATTGAGACCTCCCTCAGATATCCTGGAATTCAAGTTCTTAAAGATGTTGATATTCGCACCGGCTCTGCTAGCTAAAGTACTGGAAGCACTGGATTCAACGGCAGTTGGAGTGCTTACACCGGACTCTGCTGGAGTCACTGAAACCTCAACGGCAGAGATAGATGACATTTGGTCCGCTGGAGGGGTTAGATGGACACGTTCCAAAGCACTTTGAAGTTCAGCATCAGAATACTCGTCAAATGGATCCAGGTTAGAGCGAATTGTTCCAGAAAATAGAACCGGGTCCTGTGGAATAATGGCAAGACGACTCCGTAGATGTGCGAGTTTGATCTTGGACACGTCAATTCCATCTATACAGATAGATCCTTCTCGGGCTTCAAGGAAACGGAATAATGCTAAGGTCAAGGATGATTTGCCTGCGCCAGTCCGGCCAACTACTCCAACTCGCTGATTTTTCTCGACTGTGAATGACAGTCCTTTCAAAACCGGAGGTAGCTCGGGAGCATATGCAACAACAAGGTCTGAGACTTCGAGTCGACCATCTGTCGGCCATGCTGCAGGAGCATCTAGGCCATCCTGATTCTCAATCTCGAGATCAGAATATTCAAACACTCTTTCCACCGAGTTCATCGCCAGCTCAACATTGGCGTATTGTCGTAGCATCCAGGTGACTGTAGATGTGTATTGGAGAGCAAAGCTGAGGGCGAACCCGGCAAGAGACGCATCGATTGAGCTGAGACTTACAATAAAGGCTGCAGTGGCACTGGCAAACGCTGCTCCAATAACACCCATGCGGAACCCGAGCCATCGGTTAAACAACCATAGGTTCCAGTAAGCTTGCGCATGACGATCAATAAGAGCATACATGCGCTCGATATAAGTTTGTCCTCTGCTAAATGCACGAATCGTCCCTAATCCTATCAGGGCGGAACCGAATTGTTCGAATATCGGGCTTTTGGCGTTACTCTCAAGACGCTTGATCTCACGAGCTCCTTGAAGGAATAAATTGGAAAAATGGAAACATAGCAAGAGTAAGACCACGGCAAAGATGAATAGGAACGGCGAGACGAGTACACCTGCCGCTATAATTCCAAGGATCTGTAGAATGTTTTGTATCATACCCGACAAATCATATGGAAGCTTGGAGTCAATTTGATTGAAATCCGAAGTGAATCTGTTGATAATTCTACCAAGTGGGACGGTATCGAGCCAGCGTAAAGGAGCCCGGAGGATCGTATGTGTAAGCTTTTTGAATATATTCCTCGATGCTTGAATGCAGGAGTATAGGAAAGCTACATATCGAAGTGACCCGATCACACATGATAGCACCGACAGTGCTACATATATTCCAAGGTAGAACCATATGTTATCGGAGGATGACTCTTTTGGAGTCAAGATGCGGTTCGTGATATGGAACATGATATCAAGTTTTCGCTCGGCCATATCTTCAACGGACCTAGTCCAGATACTAACCCACCATGACTATAGCGCATCAAACAGAAATGTTAGCCTTATTAGCAGAAACAGGTTTTCTTTTGGAAGGACAACTTACGCGGACTACTCCCAGAATCGCAAAAAGGGTGAACAAAAACATCACGACCGTCCAAAATGAAAGCCCTCCTCCGTTCTGTAGATACTTCACGTAGTTGATCAACTTCACGGCGCCAATCTCACGGCCTTCTTCCTGTTGGAATTTCTTTGGCGGCTCCTTCATTGGCCTCTGGGAACCGTCTTGTGCAGTAGCAGAACGTTCTTCTGAAGGCGGTTCATGGAGAGCCTTTGGTAGGGATGGGGTTATCGCCGCCTCCTTGATATCTTCCTCTGCGAGGATCTCACTGAGGTTTCCGGTTCGCTGAAGTTCAGCAGGAGTCCCTGCGTATTTGATAACTCCATGTTCGAGGTGGACTGCATAATCTGCCTGCGGTAGGCAAAGTCCAACATGATGAGTAACAAGGATTCTTGTCCGTCCTACAGATAGTTCACCAGTTAAGGCATGAACATGTAGATGCCGCCCCGTGTGGGCGTCAAGGGCACTGAATATATCGTCCATAACGAGAATTCCCGCACGAGAATATAATGCTCGTGCAAACGATATTCTCCATTTCTGGCCACCGCTGAGATTGATACCATTTGCTCCAATATCCGTGAGTTCGCCATCTGGAAGCATTTCAAAATCCTTCTCTAGTGCACAGGCAAAGATGACTTTCTGGTATCTTTCCGTGTCAAGAGGGAGCCCGAAGAGTATATTCTCTTTGATAGACGCATTCTCAATCCATGGTACCTGCGCAACATATGCAGTGGCCGAGTCAATTATCCAGTTAGCCTTTGTTGCCTTGCTATCAAACCTATCCTCGAGTGGCGGTGGAACAGGGACCCGAACAATGCCTTCGAGTATGTCAGCTTCACCTAGGATGGCCGCGAGAAGTAAACTCTTCCCAGACCCGGTCTTCCCTGAGATCACGCTTAGCCCCTTTGACGGGAAGTTGATGTTCAAATCTTGAAGCATGAACCGTTCGAGTCGGTAATCAAGGTTCTCTGCAGGCCACGCCACAGTAGATTTCTCAAACGAGATATGTTCACCTGGAATTGTCGTTTGGACTCTTTCAGCTGACTCGAGGTATTTCCCTATACGTCCCGTACTAACAATTCCTTCTATACAGTCCGCAATTAATTCTGGCAGGACTGCGAGGGAAAATTCTATGGCCGTGAACACTGAGATTGTAGTAAATGCAACAGACGGGGACAGAGAGCCATGCAGAATGGTATATACTCCCAGGGAGACGGCAGAAAGCATGACAGGTCCAATTATCCAGATAGTGACCAGCAAGATTTCACAGATGAAGGCTTGCCATTGAGAACTTAGCTCGGCTTCCCTCACAGCATATATTTTCTGTTCCCATTGGCGCTCCAATGCAGAGAATTTAATCTGGCGGATCCCCTGGAGGGCCTCTGCAACAACTCCCATTTTACGGTCGCGATGGCCCATCAGCGTTGTTTGTGACGAGTTGTACCTCCTAGCCGTATATATATTCAAGGGAGTTATGATCACTGAGACAAGTAGTCCAGCACCAAGGGCTCTCCAGCCTATCAAGCCGCTGAGGAATACGATGGTAATAGTAAGCTTGACGATGATAAGGATGATAATGCAGTTGTAGGATGCACAATCCGCAACTCTAGTTGCGTCCACGGCAATATGGTTGATAGCGTCTTGTCTAGTCTTCCTGTCATCTTCACTATCTTCCTCCAAGGGTACCTGGGGATGGCCCTGCTTGCCTCCCAGCTGAGGTTGTCCGTTGGCCTTTTGCGCACCCTTAACATCCTTCCGCCTCATTGCCTTAGCAAAGACCACCGCAGAAAGCTGCTCGTAAACTGGGATACCTAACTGATATTGTGCAACCCAGTATAGCCAAGATTCAACAGTTGTAGAAAGAAGGATAGAGCCACCAAGAGCAAATACCCAGACCCAAGCGTCCATGGGATGCCACGAAACAGAGTTACGGCCCTCAAGTGAACGCAGTATTCTCAGAAGGCAATACTGGGGCGCAAAGCTCAAAGTCGATGTGCAGGTAACAAGGAGGGCCTGGCTAATTAACGTATAAGCATATACTCGAACAAGCGTCCTCCAAAGTTTCTCGCCAGGCCTTCTCGCTTTGTCGAAAACATCTCGCAAGCTCTTGGATCGGGTTGCATAGTCGAGCGCTGGAAGGTCGTCGATTTCCAATGTTTGGTTTTTTATAGCAAATTTAAGTAAAGGGCCTGCCCAGGAGAAGGAAACACGGCCAAAGAAGGCCCCAGTAAACTGCTGATCCACAGCTTTCCCTTCCAAATACACTTCAGGACGGCGAGGCAAAGATACTGAAGCACAGCAATTGATGAAACCAGCTGCTAATTGGGCCAGAAGAAGGATACCGCGAGGAGAGACAAGGTGCTGCCATCCCTTGACCGACTTGGTAGACCATAACTGGCCACAGAGGATAACTAGAAGGAAACCGCAGGAGGCGGCCTTACACAGGCCGAGTTCATATCTTTTGGTCGAGAAAGGCTCAACAGCCAACGCAGTTGCTTGTATCAGGAGCAGTCCCTAAATCAGCTTGTATGTTAGAATCGATATTGGATGCTTCAAACATATCAGGTTTTCTACTGACCCAAATAGTAAAAATCAGCCATTGTAGTATAATTGGCTGGCCGTGAGCTCCGTAGCTGTCGCTATCCGAGACAGCAATGGCTAGAGATGCAAGGATACCTGTGAGCGAGAGTAAAGCGATCAGGGTTCGCTGGAACCGATCCGAAAATACTTCGGAGGACAGCTCGGTAGCAGATCCATCTTCATCTTGGTACAGCCGGCACAAAGATTGATAGAGGTCATTCTCCTTTTTCAGTTGGTATCGAGCAATGACTGCACGGATAGCTGGAATCGATGTCACAGCAGTCAGGCAAGATCCCGCAATCCCAATTGCGATCGATATATTCTGTACTCTGCGTACAGAGTAGTCTGCCATCGTTTCCCTCAGTTATTGCGAGAGATACTTCTTCGTACGGAAGAGACTTTCAAGGCCGAATAGTGCTGAACTCCTTCGGCTCGGGTGTTATAACCGGTTAACAAGACTCTCCCATCCTCGCCCAAGATGTCAGTCACCTCCGCCTCTTGCGAATATGAAGAGAGTATTCCGTATATGGTAGAAATGAATGACGCTGACGCTGCGGCTCCTGGAGTTGAAGAAAAAGGAAAGCAAGTGAGAGATGGAGATGGAGATACAAGGCGGAGGAGCCAAAGGATCTCTCAAATGCAACGGAGGAGCGAGTCCACCACATATATGTGTAAACCCGAGCCACATCTCCATTCCACAGGCCCCAGAAGCGCGGGAGAAGGATTCCCTATCAGGCCAGCACATTCAATAGAACGGGCATGCAGCAAAAGCATGCTGAGATCTGCCACGAGTCCGAGAATCTTGGTTGGCTGAGGCCCTGGATGTGGCTTCACAGCTTGTTGCATACTGAAGCACAGCTCCATAACAGCTAGTTTCAGGTTATTTATCCCCATTTGCATCCGTAACTCTTCCATCTCGTCTGGAGGGATCCATGTCGATGTGCTATGGGAGGACACGAAGGCGTCTCTCTCATGATCCTCCTCTCTCTGGACATGGATGGTGTTGCGACTGGCCTGAGATCCGAGCGAGACGGACCAACACCCTTTGAGGCCTGGGAAACGGGCCCAAAGATCCAGCTGTGGCTCGTCTAGTTGGCCAGTTAGTTAGGTTGCTGAAGCTGTTCTTCCTTGAGCTTCACTTGACTTGCTTGTCTTGGTTGATGCTAACCAGTAACTAGTTAGCTTGTTAATAGCTAGCTGGTTATCCAAAAGCAATTATCACGGATCTTCTATCAACCGGCCTCCTGGGGCAATCTATGATACAATGGATGAGCTTGCTCTTTTCTTGGGTGTATTTACTAAGGATTATTTCTAGAGCTACTCCGTACATAAAACTGGAGTTTCAAGGAATTGTTAGGTAGTTATCAGATGTCGGGATAGGATATCCGTGCATTAGTGCATGTCGATAGTGTTATTGTGTCATGGCGAGTCCTCATCTTCAATATCCAGACCTCAGGACAAAAAAAAGAAAAAAACAAAAGTCAAGGGTACGTATGTACATAATGTATGCTTATTTTTACTTTTTTGAAGGGCGCTGTGTAATCCTCATTTACTTGTTGATGTGCCACATTCCGCTCTCGGTGTTTTTGGTCAGATTGGTCTGAACAACCTTTCCACCCTTAAGCCAGCCGTTCTCTACCACGCCACCACCAGGAACACCCAGTTTGCCGCGGTCAAGGCGGTTGGCTCCCGCCTTGACAGTGAAGTTGGCCAGAGAGATCTCATCCGGGTTTCGGTCACGGATATGGGGGGTTCCAAAGAATCGAGCCTGGACTTCCTTCTGGTTGAAGTGCAGCTCGAAATAGCCACGGTAGTACAATTCAGACCACTGCAGGACCTTGTTGGTGGTTGCGAGCAACTTGGACTTCTCAACCGAGTCCTTGATGCTGATTTTGGCGCCTGCGGGGGATGGAGAGCTGATGGCAGAGCCAGCGAATTCAACACCAATGGCACCCTCACCGGTCATGGGGTCATATGGAACCTCGTCGAGCCAGACAAGGTCACTCACCCAGTTGGCATGGCTGTCGCCTGCAATCATGATGTTGTTTGGAATGTTGTGGTCATAGAGTGTCTTGAAGGTGCGGTTTCGGTTTGCCTGATAGCCACTCCAGGCATCATGGTTGAGGTTACGGTCAGCGCCGAAGGCAGCAGACTCATTGATATGGGAGAACACTGCATCGAGAAACCATTAGCTGTCAGATTACACGACGAAATTAATTAACTGGCGTGTTACGTACCGATCTGGCTGCCAATGACACGCCACTTTGCACCTCGCTCGGCAGACTCGATGAGGTTTCGATAGAACCAGTTTTCCTGGCGAGAGCCCATCAGACTGCGGCTGGCATCGCCGCGAAGCTGGCTAACGTAATCCTTATTCCAATATAGGTCGGTGATGGATCGATCATACACACGGGTATCAAGCATGAGGACATCAACCAGCGAACCGAGCTGGAAGTTGCGCCAGATACGGAGGTTGTCGTCCATTTCCACTTGTCTGTTACTTGAATGTTAGGGAAATAACAATCGAACATAGGGAATCCAAATAACGTACCTGATAGGCATCCACTCAAAATACGCGCGGACAGCATTCATCTTTCTCTGGTCGGTGCTGATTCCACCGTCAGCGACGAAGGATTTTTCAGTGTTATTGAGCTGGGATGATCCATCGCGGTAGGTATTGTCAGCGACCTCTATACAGGGATTAGTGATAGTTCTTTCAAAACAGTATATTCGTGAGATAACTAAGCCGTACCGTGGTCGTCCCAGACCGGGATCCAAGGGAAGCGCTGGTGACTGGCAAGCAAGTCAAGATCGGTTCTGTAGGTAGCATGACGCTTGCGGTAGTCATAGAGAGTGAAGATTTCACGGTCAGGCAATGGAACGCGTCCAATGTCTTTTCCAGAACCACTGATGTCAGGTGTTAGCTATCATGAATATCGAAAAACAATGAAAGGTAATTGAAACTTACTAGTGACCATCTTGGTATTCGTAGATGTAATCGCTTGAGAAGAGATCGAGTTAGCCAATTCATACAGTAAACAACAAGTTGCAATATGTAGATCATACCCGAGGTGAAGAACGTAGTCAACGGAATCCTTTCGCACTGGGTTTCCGTATGCATTGAAAAAACCGAAGGCTGTTGACAGAGTTAACGCCTGGAAACTTTATAGGAACGTTGCCAAACTTACGGTAGTTGCTGCAAGAGTAGACGGCAAGGGAGATGTCCTTGACCAAGTCATGCTCAGCTGGCGCTGTCTTGGTACGTCCGACTGGGCTCTTCTTGTCGGAGCCACAGACGTTGAATTGATAGTAGTAATTGGTGAATGGCTTTAACTTCGTAGCTTCAACCTATTTTACAAGTTAAAATTCATATTCTACACTTCATAGCTGATATTCTATGATATAAAATAGGGCTTACCTTGACAGTGTAATCAACATCGGAACTGGTATAGACAGTTCCCTTTTCCACGACTTTCTTGAACTTCTCATCCTTGGCAACCTTGTATTCCAGGCAAATAGGAGCCTTAGAGACAGGTTTATGCTCATCTGTGTCCTTGTGAATTGGGACAGGGTTGTAGAGTGGTACATCTCCAGATACAGTGCTGTTATCATTGACATCGTCAAAATGGGGAGAGCATCTCGTCCACAAAATGACAGAGTTGGCGTAGGGGTCTCCAGACGCGACACCGTGAGTGAAGTTCAATTTCTCAGGTGCAAATTCGATAGCCGGGTCAGTTCTCTTCAGAACCTTGGGCACAGATATACCCAAAGAGGGATGGTGAAGAGAAGGACTGCGGTAGTTCAAATTGCTTCCATAGGACGCAGTAGCCGTAGTAGCGCAAAGCGCCAAAAGGGAAAGTGTGTATAACATCTTCACTCACCATGTAAAATGAGACTGGCCGAAAAAAAAAGATCTCATTCCCATGGGAGTCTTTGTGCTATTTAAGCACCGACATTGCCGTAATACTTCCTCGTAATGCTTTTATTATCTCGAGCTACATATCCCGAGTAGAAGCTCTCCACTCTCGCATTAAGGTCGAGATTTCCTTGTCGTCAGCTCTAAAGGCAAGCGAATGACGATGTAGAAAGCGTGCATGTGTAGCAAGGATGATGTCCATAACAGCGGAAGCACAATCCAACTCCGCGAGGAGTTGGTAAGGCGAATTTTGGGAGTCCCGCATATGGAGGCAGAAGAAGCTTAGTTAACCATCCCCGCCACGGCAACGATACCTCATGAAGGAGGTTGCATCAAGCAACGCAGGCGAGAACCCCTCTGTAGTGACATGACTCGGCTAAAGAGCGCAAGTACTGTAGTTTTTGGACACGGAGGCCGTCCTGTCTGTCAGTGACTTGACTCCGTCCAGCTCGTACTTCGTACTTCTGCCCAAATCGCAAGCAACTGTATTCACACGTGGTTGAACGCAACCCCACTGGCAATGGGGGAAACAGTTAATAGAAGCGCGTTCTTTGGTCAAGTTAGAAAATATCCCCAGCTTTTTGCCCGAGATCGACGTTGTGAGAGATGTTGATTTGGTATGTTTTTATAATCGCAGGAGGTTGATTGGGCAGCCAGGGCGTTAGTTATGGCTCCGCTTAAGCTTTTGGCCAAACCAAAAGATGCCTCGGATGGAGTTTAGAGAAGACCAGAAATGTACTCTGGTGGAAGAAGTCGAACTCGAGGAACTACTTAGGCTCCCGTCGAGAGGCTTGGAGCGGTGCTGTGATTGATGGAATCCGTTATTCGAGAACGGCACGCCATCCTCTTCTCCCGCGAAAGCCAACAACAGCCTCATCACTGAGAACATCGCTGCCCAGCCTTCCGGTGAGCACACTCCGCTCGAAGTCTGGTCCCCGGACGAAGAACGGCTCGAATCCCGAAGGACTGGCTCCGTTCCCAGGGCTTGCTTCTTCTTTTCTCGCCCAGCGCACGGCTCGGGTGCTGTCCACACACCTATCAAACCCCGAATTGACACGATCCAGGGTCATGTACCAAGTCCGTTGGTAGATAGAAGCGAGTGAATTTGTTGCCCCTCTATACGCATTTGTCTGGCGGATAATTTCATCTTCTTGATCAGAATGTGAGGGTTGGTCCGAGGATGGCCTCTCTTCCAGTTCTTCACTGTCCGATGAAGTCAATTCGGGTCTCCGGCTGATTTCTTTCCGTCTATCTCTTGTTCTTCTTCTTTTTGTCGGCTGTCTCGATGCATTGTTACCTCGTGCAAGCCGAAGAGTTACTGTATAGTTTGGCGGCAGCCGAGTGCCGTGCAATCTCAGGCGAATTTTCCGCTGGGATGAAGTAGTTAACTAGTTAGTTAGCTGGAGCTAGGATGCAGTAGCTAGTGATAAGCCAGCCATGGGGATTCTTTAATTATTTAACTATTTACCTGATGAAATGCTCTTCGAAGCTTTTCGCTTTCTGTAAGGTGGTCTTCTGCAGAAATACTAGCATCGGACTGGTCTGTTTGCAAGGCGTCGTTGTCGTAATACGGCAGCACAGAGTACTCCCCAGTATCCCAGATGATCATGCTGCCCGACGCCGCAGACGCCGATTCAATCAAGTGATTCTATATTCAATTGTCAATAACACATCACTGGGAAATAAAAGGTGTACGGTACGGCATATCAACATACCCATAAATTGTGCACTCTTGTCTCGGTAGCATTTCTACTCAATCGCTTGCTGTTTGGGTTCCCAGGCAGGCCATACATGATAGCAAAGCTCAACGAGCTTGTCCGTGAAAACTGCAGCCTGAGGTCATAGTGCGGGCCAGCAATGGGATGATCATGCTGATGAACGACAAAATGCCTGCCGTCGTCATGCTGGTTCCTTAGATAGAGGTCCCTCCACGCTGAATGGGCCAGACGCGGGACTTGCGGCAGCTCAGCCCGCGTCGAAGCCCGGAGGCGCGCGGAGAATATTCCTAGATGATCTTCAACATCCTCTTTTCCAGCCTCAATAGCCGCGATATCAACATTCGACCCGCTGTGTGGCTGATCTTCGGGCTTCGTACCATCTTCATCGGCGACCCTACGGGGGTTTTGACATCCACGTCGGCGTTTCCTGCCCCTGGCTGGCGGAGGCGAAACGCTTCGAACAAGAGATCGGTGCAAAGATACAGTCCATCCTTGATTCTCGGGCTTTACAAAGGGGTTTTCGATCGCTCTGGCTCCGTGTGCTTTTTCTTCCATCATGGCAGGGGCTGCTGGATAGGTAACGGACTACGGAGTACATAGTAAGTTGAGTGCTGGTGGCTATTAGTTGGCTGACTACTTAGGTACGTACTCAGGCATTGGTTCTACCAGCAAATTCTACTTCGTTGCTAACTAACTGCTTCTTGCGACAGAATAACTACGGGGTATAGTCAACTGGCTGTGGTCTCTTCTCGATCAACGCATTCCCCAGACTATGTACTCTGTATGCATGGAAGCAAGCCGTCGCGGATAACAGTAACTAGCGCTAGGGGATTAAGCTGCGAATCCCGAACCCTGAGTGGATCGCTCGCCGATGCTTTGTCAAGCAAGAAAACCCTTGCTAGGCTTCGGGCATATCGATCATGGATGTGAATGGACGAAGCCTCTGTTCCCCGCCGTCAGCCCGCATGATGATGGCCATGGCCCAGGGCCTTTTATACCTCCTGCTACGCCGGTCCTGCAACTGGCGCCTTAAGAGGGCGTGGCATCGAACTAATGGACCGCAACTCAGTGAAAATTTATCCTGAGAATTAAGATGCCGTTCACGCCTGTCAATACGTCCCTAGGGGCATTGCTGTTGTACCAGGGTTCTTACGGGCTACTGCAGAACAATGGCCGAGTGTTCGGTATTTCGTCTCTCCTGTCAGGCTGTGTGGGAAATCCGAACACCCAAAACGTCCCGGTGATACTAGGAATGCTATCAAGCATTGTCCCAGTCTATCTCCTGGCTCCTTCACTCCTACCGCCATATGCTACCCCGCCAGCAACATGGGGAGCTGCACTTTCACTCGCTGGGCTCGGTTTCTTAGTTGGTTGGGGAACGAAGGTAGGTAGATGGCTTGAGAGTCTCCTGTCTCACTTATAAACCAAGAGGATCTGACAGCATAGCTAACCGTATATAGAATGGCAACGGGTGCACGTCTGGACATATGCTCTGTGGTATATCTCGAGTTTCACCTCGGTCTTTCATTGCAACTGGAATCTTCTTCATCACCGCACTTGTCACTGCAAATCTTGGGGTCGGGGCAACAGTCTCACCCTCACCAGACGGAAGCCCAGCTTACTTGCCTGCTTATCCATCCACAGATGAAGTTGCATTCATGTTCTCTACCGTTGCCATTTCCCAGGCAGTCAATTCATTCCTAGTGCCAGCTCTGTTGCCCCGTTACACCAATTCAAATGTGGTCTACAGCTGCATTGCAGGCCTCCAATTCGGCCTAGGCTTGCTTATAAGTGGCATGGCAAATCCAGAGAAAGTTCTTGGTTTCTTCAACTGGTTCAATCCTTCCAAGTTTGATCCATCTCTAGCACTTGTCATGGTATTCGGAGTCGGACCAAGTCTCCTGTCTTATTTATATATGAAAACCGAGTACGGCAACGAAGAGGGCATGAAACCTCCGCTTCTGGCTGACCGATTCAGCCTACCAACTGCTACAGTAGCGGATATTGATTGGAGATTCGTGGCTGGTTCCGTTGCGTTTGGTGTTGGATGGGGACTGAGTGGTATTTGCCCTGGTCCTGGACTGCTGAGATCGGCTCTCTCGCCGCTTTGGGGGGCAGCATGGCTCTCTGGCTTCTGGCTGGGTAGCCTCCTTGGTATTTGAAGTATATTCCGCCTTCATTATTAGGACAGCAGTGTCCAGTTGTATATATATGTGGAATAAGGACCGTGATGGTTAAGTTTCAGCCGCGTCAAGAACTCCCAATTGATCGAGTTCCAATGTTGATAAAGTATAGCATGGTGTACTTTTATCCGCGAGCAACATCATTTGTCATTATCTAGATAAATAAAGTGAATATTTCTCATAACGATTGTGTTTAACCGGCTCAATGGTCTATAAGTTGTCGCGCCGAATTAAAAAATTAGAGTAATGTCTTCCCAAAAAGATTCCCTGGATGAGTTGAGCGCCCATAACATGCCATACATTTCCCGCCCAAAGTTGAAAAACCCTAAAGTAAAGAGATGGTCTTGTATAAAAAATCCCGTCATCGTATTCTAAATGATAATAAAGTATTATTAGTACGTAAATCCTTGAGAACTGCCTGCATATTGACTTTTTCAGGGAGACACATAAAGGCAGAGGCAGAGATATCCAGAATCAGGAATATCGCCATATCAATATTAACAAATCTCTAGATGTAAGTAACATAGAATGGCTTACAGCTCCGTCTTATCTTCATCATCTATTCTAGCATGCTTCGATTTTTTTGTGTCGAAAAACCCTTCGAGATCCATCCACTCGGCGGCAAATGCAGTGATGAGTGTGCTCCAGTCTTCAACAGTAGGAGGGTCAAGGTTTTCCGCATTGTCCGCCATTTTGTGCCATAGACCACTTGGGAATGGCCAGGGTATCAGGTGGAGAATTTCAACTCCCCTCTGCATGAATGGCACATGATCATCCGAGATAAAGGACAAGAATTTCCTATCTGATGGTCGGTTTCCTTCAGTAAACCATGCCTTCGGTGCACCCTTCTTGGGGTCAGGATCCGATTTGAACTGCCCAAGTTTACGAAGTCGTTGTTCGAGTTGGGCTAGATGTTTATACGCCCAGTGGGTTGTTGCGAAGAAAGATGGCATGATGGGATCTTTGTTCCCTAGTAGGTCGAGAAGGACAAACAGCCTGATGGCTGATAATGAGGATTTGAATGTAGAAAGAGCAGGATAATATTCATGTTCCATGTGTTCTGCCAGCGAACGGGCTCCATACAGGGAATCTGTAGCAGTCCACTCGCCAAATGCCTCTTCGCCGTCCAGCAGGAAAATTTGAATGCCCTGTTGCGCATCCATATCAAGATTATCGCTTGGGTTCGATTGTATTGCATTCCACTTTTTCGTTAATGCCGCATCGATGCTTCTTACGGCATGTAATAGCATCGCACATGGAGCGGCGCTATCTATTGCCCCGATAAACCCCTCCGGTGTCAGTTTACTGTCGTAATGAGCGGCCAGAGTCAACCTGCTGACGTCGCCAGCATTCGCGAACGGGGGATCGCGGATAGCAATCAAATTAATGAACGGTATCTGTTTGTCACCAGTTACTGGTGTTTTAGAAGTTGAGTTCTGGAACTGCAGCTTCCAGTCCGGTAGGTTCTTCTTGAAGAAGCTCACGAAGTGTTCAAGTACGGCCGCCGATCCCGGGGTACCAGGTACTCTAGGGCGTAATATTGGAGCGAGAATTGCTCCATTGTGTATATCGAAATCGTTTCCCGGACGGGGTAAAGATCTTAAAGTAGCATCGGATATGGAGGTATACGCATTAACCGGTGAGAAGAGAAGGCCCAGGAATGGGAGATATAATAGCACCGTTAAAAAGGTAGGAGCAGAGCACCTAGCCATGTTTAGGGGGGTTGTGAAACAATTTATCGTAGCTTCGTGATCGATCGTGTCATGGTAACCTGTTCATCGAGATCAGCCAAATATGCCAGATAGCATAAAATCGGATACCCAGGCCTACCTAGGTATATATACACAGGAGAGTAGCTCGATGGGCAAAATCTCCGTAATCCCGAATTATGGGGACTGAGTGCTGTCCTACCAATGCCTTCCTCCGACGCCCTTCTGAGCACCTGATAAAGAAAGCCCAGCTTGAGATAAATTCCAAGGGGAAATAAGGTCTTGCCAAGTCCTCGCGGCTCGGCGCTTATCACGAAACTTTAATATCACGTGAGTAGGGTTTTTTGACGCTCTTGAACGCGCAGAAGAGATCAAACAAGTCACTGGTTGTTGCATCTGGTCTCTGCTGCCATTGAGGCATCTACCCTCAAGCGTTATACCATGTTCTAGATGAGGAATTTTATTCTTAGCTTGTACTATATTTTAAATTATGTTTTGCCTACGGTCTGGTAATAGGTTCAGTTTCCGGCTGGGCTCCTGGATTCATCGGGATATCACCACAAAACTACAGCTACGCCATAAAGTCACAGATACTCTCTCTAGTTCCTCTGCTTCATTAAAGAGGTCACCGGCCGGCACTCAGAATGGCCCCCTGCGTGCACCACTTCGGTATCCCCAGGCGAAGACACAGCCGACTCAAGGCAGAGGTGAGTTTATTCAAGCCGCATCGGTTAGCTATAAAATACCTATGTAAACTAACATTTTTATTCAGCGGCCCGCCTAAAGCCGAAACAGATAGTGATATACCATGCTGGTACCGGGAAAATCGCCTTTATCGGTTTAATGCGAGTCACGACTATCCTAGTGTTCGTTGTTTCCTGCGCCGTCGTGGCTCCAGCTTTCTATGCGGCAGAATTCCCATGGTATATAGCTCCTGCAAGTGAGTATCCTTTCATTCCGACGCACTAGTATAGTTACCAATATTTATGTTAAACAGTTATTATCGGTGGGGCGATACCTATGCTCTTCGTTTCGTTTACAGCCGCCCCCTTCGTGAACCAAGTGTACCTTTCCCTACCGGCCTTTACTCAGCAGTCAAGAGAACACCTACGAGCATACCTGAACAAAATCCCACGTAATGCAACATTGAATGTTGAGACCATGAAATTTAACTTCTACCCCAAACGAACACTTGTCTCGGTATCAGACTTGGTCCCTCGAACTTCAATGGTTCGTCCCGTGAGCTTTATGAACATTAACCCACAGCCTAGGCCGTGGTGGAAGGGGAAAGATCAAGTTTTCTTCTTTGCGCCTGAGAAGAGTCGCCCAGCAAAGTCAACTGCAAGGTTTCTCCCCGAGATATGGGAGCAAGTCTTTACATTAATTAAGAGCAACCGGGCACCGTGAAGTAATTGTCCAAATATCTTCCTGTTTTGATATCGATGAATGATAGAGTGGCTGCTAGCCCATTTTCCCCATCTTGACTTCTCTCTGGATACCCAATCATTACCCATGATACCATCATTGGGCCTTATATATTGAGGAACCGCCCTGCCTTTCTACCATTGCAGAAACCTAGCTTAACCGCCTGTGATAGTTGGTCACGAACAATATCCAGCTGGAATAATACAGTACTTCTTCCTTTGTTCTCGATCCAAGCCTCAAGGGCCTCAGCTGTTTCCGGTAGGCAATTCCCACAATATAAAGGGGCTTCTTTTTTCCCTTTCTGCTCTCTGCTCTTCTATTCTTTTACTTTCTCCTTTTTCATAAACAGCTTCACTCTTCCTTTAGCTTCTCGTTGGCCTCTTCTCATCTAACTCTTACATCTTGACATTTCACAAGATATAAAAGGCGTTTTTCTATCTTTCAGAAGATTTGTTCAGCTATCTATTGAAAGTAAGGAGCAACAAAAGGTCATTCTTTCCTGCTTTCTTCTGCCCTTGATTTTTATATTGGCATCATTTACTATCGAACAACCTTCCGTCTAAGTTCTTGCTACACAAAGAAGTGACATCTTCTCGCCGAGAAAGTGATTTCTTACCCGCAACTTTTCTGATATTATGTTGCCCCCCTTTGTCATTCTTTATTTATAAACACGGTTTCTTGCAAAAACAACATACCAAAGTTCTCCTCAAACCAACAACTCACACACAACCACCTACTTTCTGGCTTATTTTCTGATCCAGCCCACAGTCTAGGATCCATCGGTCTGTTTATCATCATGGACAACTTGACTCCTGGTGAACAACGCACCTTCATGCTGGGCCTTCTCTGCTCCACCGATGGCCTGAACAATATCAAGGTAAGCCTCCCTGGGACTGTTTGATCCTTGACCCAGCACGTCTCAGTGGTTGACACGGTATTATGCGATCGGGTTCATTTTCATCAACGGCATTTGGTCATATCAACATCAAAATCTGTTGCTAACATGTTATTCTTACGCGTTACAAGGTTGATTATGACAAATTGGCTGAAAAGGCTGGTTTTAAGAATGCCGCCAGTGCCTCTGTCCTCTTCAACAAGTCTCGGCGCAAGATCCTGTCTGCCTTGACCGAGGATGGCACAATTGCTCCTACCAACAGCAGTCCAAAAAAGGTATGTAGCATTGACAATTTGACGCTAGAGAATGGTTCTAAGGTGCAGGGCAGGCTGGTGATAAAGTCACCAAACCCCGTAAATCCTCTGCAAAGGGAAAAGGCACTGCCACTGCCACTGATGAGGAGCCGAACGGCAACTCGGACACCCAGGCCAGCCCTGTCAAACCTCCCAAGGCTAGGGGAGGGAAAGGAAAAGCTGGGGGGAAAGTGAAGACCAATCCTATGATGTAAGTTGCCATCTTTATCATAATTCTTTCAAAACATCAACCCTTCTAACAGGAGATAGGACGGCACCCATCAAGCATGAAGTGTTGGTAAAGGAAGAGCCCGTTTACGAAGACTTTGCCAAAGGTATAATTAATGGCACATTCTATCCCTACTCAGACATAGCACTAAACACTCTTTGGGCAGTAGAAGCTTTCTCCAGCGGCAATGGGTCTACTGGAAGCCCTCTGGACTCTGAGGTCGATGGCGAAACCATCTAGCCCCTCATGATTTGCGTGGAATTACCTGAGGATTTACAATGATAATCTTTCACATGAACCACCGCCATGGCATCGGGTATTAGTACTGTTTTCAATCAACTCTGGCTTCTGAGCTTGGACAAGAATGGGCCATATTGGCCTAGCTGGCATGCATCCTTCCGCCGGGCGTTTTTTTACCATGGTTCTCTGGAATCCCGTTTTGTTTGTTGGTCCCCCTTTTGGTATTCCTTTCGCTTTTACCATCCAAATTCCGGAGCTCCTAGATACTTTAGCCTCCAATAAGTGAATACAAGGGGTTTCTTTACACAAAATAAATAAGCACGGTCAACTCCCTTAAACACTTCATAGATGTCTGCCCGCTAGTCAACCAGCCAAGACATAGTAATCTCGTTAAACTTAAGGAGACACTGACTATTTATAGCTAGACTTTCGAGCCCCTCAGGCTGCCGTGAATATCTCCCCAGCTAGTATATCGACTGCTTTCCACGGCCCCTTTCTACTAGAAATTACAATAGACGTTGTATACTTATTTACTCTACTATATCACAGTCTAGTTGGTTACTCGACTATGGCGGCCCAGCAAACTATAGATGCACCATGGCATGCCGCGTTTCCAAACCCCACGGCCACTGCTGGGGCTGTGAGCCGCTCTGAAGTCCTTGGGTGGCTATCAAAGAGTGATGGACCGCTAGACTATGTGTTAGTAGACGTTCGCAGAGTCGACCATGAGGTAAGGCTGGACTGTTTGACCAGGGCTTCATAACCGAACACGATATTAATCAGGGCTGAAAATGCCGGCACTGATGTTTTAACCGAGATCCTATCACTACCTAGGCAGTTATCATTTACCGACGATCTATTCTCTTGATTATGCTCACACATTTTGTCTCTAGGGAGGAACGATACGAGGGTCTATCAACCTACCAGCCCAAAGTTTCTACGCATCACGCCCAACGATATACAAATTGCTAAAGCAGGCTGGTATTAAAAAGGCCGTCTTTTACTGCGGTGAAATACCCTTCTTTTAGTTGCACTCTGTTTTTAGTTTGGAGTTAGTACAGCCAGCTGATAAACGGCAACAGGTTCATGCAATGGCCGAGGGCCCCGTGCGGCAGGTTGGTTTGCCGACTACCTGCAGGAACAAGGGGACACTGATATCCAAAGCCTTATCCTTGACGGTGGCATTAAAGGCTGGGTGAAGGCTGGAGAGGAGTATGTGGCTACTATGGATGGCTATGATCCCGCTACTTGGAACCTATGATTCAAGAATTTCTATTTAGAAGCAGAGATATATGAATATATTAGTTGTATCTATTGAAAGAAGGCTGTAAATAATACATATGCGTAGGAGAAAGAACAGTGACATAATTCTTGCTATTCATGCCAGGCATATAGTCAAGAATTCAACGAAAGATATCAGCTTTTAGCGCTGCAAAAGTATTATTGCCGAAAATTCATAACGCTTCAATGGCCTTGAGGAGGATCTCAACCCCACGGTCGGTAGTAGTCTCATCGGTACCTTGGCTAGACTCCTTCAAGATCCAGGAGACATCACTCCACCAACCCAGACCAATTAGTCCGCCACCTTTTCGTTTCTCTAGACTCTCCTTCATACGACTAGTATGTTCCCATTGCTTCGCAGCAATTTCTGCGCCTTCCACCACTTTGGACGGAATACCGCACATTGAGGCACAGTGCATTCCGAAACTGCCTTCAGCGACGCCGTCTTCCAACTTGTAGAGGAATGTCACGCGTCTTTCGGCATCATCGACGTGAATTCGCATTCTGCGAGCAGCAATTTCAGGATGTCCCTCAAATTCAGCCGCAAGTGAGTGATAGTGAGTGGCAAAGAAACCTAGGGCGCCTATATGGGTAGCGACGTGATGAAGTACTGCTTGTGCCACAGCAACACCGTCATAAGAGCTAGTTCCGCGGCCTAGTTCGTCCAATATGACCAAGGAACGAGGTGTTGCCTCGGAAAGAATTTTCTTGGTCTCAGAAAGCTCGACAAAGAAGGTGGATTGAGCAGCAAATATGTTGTCATTAGCCCCAAGCCTGGACATAATACGATCCACAGGAGTTAGACGAGCATATTCACAGGGAACATAGCAGCCGATTTGTGCCATAATAACGGCAGTGCAAGTCTAGTGAAGGTTAGTTTGAATATAAGAGTAGATTATGGTAAGGCTATGGAGGCTATACTGACCATTCGTAAGACTGTAGACTTCCCTGCTGCGTTTGCACCCGTAAGAAGATTGATATTTGATGAATCTCCTCCAAGTTTGACATCATTGGGAATGAAGTCTCCGATATTGGGCATCATGCACGGATGGCGGAGCTCTTGGAAATCAAGTACACTGCGCTCATCATCGACAAATATAGGACGACAACTTGGGTGTCCTAGCGCAGTGGAAGCCTTGGCCAATCCGATCAGACAATCAAGCTGGGCAATTATTTTCACAGCTGCGAGCCAACTCGAGTAATCTTTGTCGAAACGCGCATAAAACCTGCCAGCAACACCCTTTACAATCTGAGCGTGCGTCTCCCGAGCTTCCTGAAGTTTCCGAATCAATGCTCTTAGCTCTGGGAAATAATATCGTTTGACCTGTTTAGTGGCGGACATTTGGTCCCAGGATTTTGGTATGTTCTTGATCTTAATTGGGACTTCGAGTTGGTAAATTTCTTTACCGTTATCCTTGAAAACAATGGTAGAGCATTTCAACTCCTTTCTGGTCCTGTGTAGCACCTGCTCTAAGTCGTCCTCTAATTGCTCAATGCCCTTTCTTGATGCGTCAAACTCTTCCTCGATACCTTCCTCTGGAACTAAAATGTCACTTTCTCTAGCCTTAGGGCGGTCAAATGCTGTCTCCCAAAATTTCAGGAGACCATTCAGATTGGGCATGGCAGAGATTAATTGACCAATCAACCCATAGCCGGATCCAGCTTCCTTCAGAAGTCCCATCGTATACTCAATCTGTTCAAAACCCTCAAGCACACGAACGAAATCTTGAGCTTTGCATGTGCCGGCATGAACCCGAGATATAAGTCGTTCCAAGTCCGGCATTTTAGTTAACTGTGACGAAAATTGCTCACGAACAGTGCTATCTGCATTCAGAGATTCAACAGCGTCAAGCCGGGCGTTGATCTTCGTGGTATCCATCAGGGGATGACAAACCCATTGTTTAAACAACCGTTTACCAAAAGGTGTAACACAGCGGTTGAGTAACTGGAATAGAGTCCCTTCCGAGCTGCCATCGTATGTGTTTGCGAAAATTTCAAGGTTGATTAAAGTCTGCCCATCCAGCACAAGGCTGGATGCTTTCTTGATTGGATCGTACCAGGTGAAATTCCCTATCGTGATGAGGTCCCGTCCAATCTTTAGCATTTCGAGGTATTGTAAAAGAGCTCCCAATGCTGACATGACTAAGTCTTTATCACGAGCGTCCTGCAGTACCTGAGGCCAGCCTGATACATAACTTCCTTCTCCTGAAACGAAATAGTCGCCAGCATCAAGTTCCCTAACAGTGACGTCGGCCTCCCAGAACTCCTTTCCCGGCTTTAGGTAATTCCAGAGAGTAGTTGGACCGGTATTGTTCTTCAATATCCTGAGGGCCTTGGTAGACATGACAGACTTCTCAAGTAACAGTTCTTGGGGCCTGGTCTGAGCAACAAAGGTTTCAAATCTTGTCATATCCACATCGTCAACGAATTGAGATAAGAAAAACTGTCCTGTGGCTGTATCGACGAACGAAATACCAAAGGCTGGTAGGCCATCAATGATAGATTCTTTGATTGCCACGCAGTATGTAGACATATCACCCTGGATCATTGATCCTTCTACCAACGTGCCAGTGGTAAGAACGCATGCTAGCTCTCGCTTTATGACCTTGTCTTCCTTTTGTGCTTTGCCTTTGTTGCCTTTATCTTCGCGTTCTCTCATTTCTTTGCTCAGCGCAGACTCCGACTGGTCCACACGGGCGATCTTGAAACCCTTTGCGACAAATTGGTTTGCCCAATGGTCGAGACTCATTTCGGGCACCCCGACCATACGCATATTGACTCTATCCGTGAGTTTGAGATCAAAAAGCTGATGGCCGATAGTGGCATCATTTTCGTATAGCTCGTAAAATTTCCCTTTCTTGAAAAACACGATGGTATCCCAAAATTTCTGCTTGATCTCCCAATACTGCTTCTCAAATGGCGAAAATTTCGTCCATGCTAGAGGAGGAATGTATAAAGTACGAGGGTCATAGTCGGGATGACCAAGTGGATTTTTATCCATATCCATAATCTTTGCAAGCCATGGGTATCGATTCTCCGGCTCTGTCATGTGGGCCTTTTTTGGCTTGTTACTGGGGCGTGTCTCTGATTTGGCCCGTGGCTTTTGGGGTTGATATGGCTCTACATTATCGGGGTCATAGCGCCATTTTTGAGTCGAGCCAGACGTGCATTGAGGGATCTCCGTATCCACATCATCACCAGGTATTGGTGGTGGGCTGCTCGATTCTTTCTTAGATGGTGGCTTAGAAGGACGTTTCCGTTTCTTAGATGACTTCACCTCTCCTTCTGAATCATCGTCCGGGACAACAAAGTCATCGGTATCTGAAATATGTTAATTAAATCGTTAAATCCTGCATCTATCGGTGTAATAGTCATACCATCCATGTATTTGTCTTCGTCTTCATCATCAGGCTTGAAGCAGTCTTCATCACTACTGTGGGCTCCGGTCCTTCTTCGCTTCTGAGATCGGCCTCGTGCGCCTCTCCTCGCTGGCTGAATAACATCCTCATCCTCAGATTCTTCATAACTTTTAACCACGGTCCTCGCCTAGATAATAGTTAGCGAAGTTATCCAAGGAACAAATAAAGCAACTATTTATGGGGCCATTGTTAGCATACCCGTCTAGTGGGAGTGGTTGAGGTAGAGGATTCGTGGTTTCCCGCAGATATTTTCCTTACTGCGGTCGGTGTATCTTCTTCGGGAGGTTCAATTGCATCGCTACTCGGTACTGGAGTGATATTCTGATCGTCATCTAGCCTCTGTTTCGAAAATTTGGATCTCACCGAGCTGGTGGTAGTTATGCTGCGTGGACTGGTTCCAGATGGAGAAGATGCTGGCGCATTGGAACTTCGCTGAGAGGATGAGGGTGCCGAGGGTGATGATTTGGGTTGAAAAAACCCCAAAATGGACCTTTGGTTCTTGTTCATATTCTGTGTACTTGGTGTTGACCGCTTCAGTACGCGGGAGGGAGCAGGAGTCGCCTGCGCGGATGACCCCATCCTCAAAGAGATTAAAGGAAATGACAAATGAGAAGTCTAAGATGCATCTGCATGCGATAACAAGTGCAGGTGAATGAGGCAAAATGCTAGGTGGTAAAGATAAATGAGAACAGTAACTGGTATGTTATGGCATATGTAAATGTACGAAAGTTGAAGAAAACCTCTTTGGGATTGCCATTAAATGAGTTCCGCTTATCTTATCAGACGAACGCGAAAGCGCGTTGAGCGCGACCTGGCACGTGACACCCGGAGTTTCCATTACCTAAATATATTACATAATCAACTTCTCTGCAGCATCAGAAGGAATAGCTTCAAGTAAACACGGAATGTGAGTGAGACTGGTAAATGGTATTATTATACAGAATTGCGTTAAAAAAAATATGGTGATAAACCTGGAGCGTATGGTGCCATCCAATCGCCAAAAAATAGAGAAACCGGCATCCCAATGGAGAAGAAACTAGTGTACAGCATGCACCGGATATAACGACCAAACGCTCCAATTGAATCAGCAACGAATAAAAGAGGTATCATGGCCACGCCTGTCGCTGTTCTCGCTCTTTCGCTAGTTCTGCTTCTTCCTCCTTCTCCTTTTGGTCAGACAATTCCTGGAGTGAAACAATCTTTGGTTTCCGGCCGCCAGCAGACCCTCCAGCAATACCTGGCCGCTGGACTTGTCGCCCAGCAATTCTGCGTTTTTTGGCAAACAGATCACGATCTTTTTGGTGTTCGTCTGCCGAGTCCTTCTCAGGCTCTGATTGCGGTAAGGTCAAACCTTGTTCTTCGAATTCCTTATCGCTGATGACTTTGATAATTTTAACTCTCCATTTCCCGATTCGCAGAATGAGCAGGCTCCCGTCAATAAGGAACTTCTCTGTAACATCAGCGGGCCATGTTCTGAGAGGGACATAACTTAGTGCATCGCCCATTTGCTCTGCACCACTAGGCATACAGCCAACCGAGGCTCCATTATTCACAATGATCCGGTGTCCTTCTTGCTTGGAGGAGACCATTCCGGCAGAGTAGAGGATCTTGTGAAAGTATTGTCCCACCACCAAAGAGCGAGGTAGAACTAAATGATGCGTTGGTGCGGTGAAAGCGTTCATCTGGGGGGCATTTTTGTTTACCCCAGCATTGATAAACTCCGGGATTCCAGAAGGTGAGAGTGGTATGGACTTGGTGTCTGACTTTGTCGATGCTGAGCCCTGGGGCTGGAAGATGGCTTTATGGGCTTTTGATGCATCCTCTGCTTCTTTAGGGCCATGTACAAGCTCCACAAACTCTTGCGCTAAAGCGTGTTGAGCAATCCTACGAGAAGGTTCCTTATTGTGTTCCTCAATTATTTCGTGGATGCGGACGGTTGGGAGGAAAGTAAACATTTTTAGTAACCGCTCCATGTCCTGGTCAGGTTGACGCATAAAATACTATGTCCTGTCAGCCTGTAATCCTGTAAACACGTTCAAAAGATTGGTGGTATATAACACACCTGGTAAAGGTCGTAAGTCGACGTCATATCTTTGTCCAACCATATCGAATTACCAGCAGATTTGCCGATCTTTTCGCCCGTCGACGTAGTCAGCAGTGGTACTGTGAGTCCAAAGGGCATTGATAACTCTGGGTCTTCGCCTGGCTTGGTTTCGATCGGTGAAGTTTTCAAGACTTGTTTAATGGTATCAATTCCGAATTGGATGTTGCCAGACTGATCAGAGCCCCCCACTTGAATCATAACTCCTTTCTGATAAAGATGCCACCAGTCCCATGCTTGCATTATCGGGTAGCAAAATTCAGTAAAGGACATGCCGCTTCCACTCTCGAGGCGCGTCTTCACCCTGTATCCAAGAGCGTCCGATAAGTGTCATTATACACGGAAGAGATAAAGCCAAGAAGTGTAACAGGTGTAACTTACGGCTCCCGTCCCAGCATTGTTCCTATCCTCGCATGTTGTCCGAGGGTGCCCAGAACATCAATAAGCGTTTCTTTATTCCACCAAGTGTTATTATTCTCTAGTGCTCGTCTCCAAGCCCACTCCCATGAGTAACCGTGCTTCCCGCCGTATCTTTCGAACGAGGCTCCAAGTTTTTTTAGTTGCATATGCATGTTAGCAATGTATGCTTTTCTAGAGGCGTTGCTAAGAAGGGGTCGCGCTGTCGTTCGCCCGGTTGGGTCTCCAACCCGTGACGTAGAACCACCCAACTATAACCTCATGTTCATTAGGATGAGCCAAACTCCAGAAAACAACTTTTAAACAGTTATAAACTGCTTTTGTAGGGCACCAAAAATCAAGCGCTACTCACAAGCCAGACTGACTTCATGCCATGTACGTAAGCCCATCCAAGTATCATAAAAGGAAGCATGTGTCCGACATGCATCGAAGGTGCAGTAGGGTCGATTCCGGCATATAATCCAACCCGTTTATTCGTAATCATCTTATCTAGAGCATCACGGTCCCTAAATGGGGGAAAGAGTAAGAGTAATCAGTCAGCAATTCTTGTCAAGCCTGTCAAATGATATGGAAAATAATTGCGCTCACCCCCCAATAACTGAATGAATAAGCCCTCTTTCCTCCATAAAGCTGAGAAAGCTCTGTTTTTTGCCTTCTTTGATTTCCTTCGCCCAACCTTCCCATTGCGCCTCTGCTTCGGCCATCCGGGCTAGGTATCTTTGAGTAATGCATCTTCTCTGGACGGCGCCGGGCATCGATCTGAGAGAACCGAGAGAACTTCTCTGAATTGTTATTCCTTGCCGAGACAATACACATTGTGAAGGAAGAATATCCCTCGAAAGGGATTGGCACACAGTAGAGCGCATCATTGTCGTGTCCTTATTGATGCGGAGAAGCAAGGGTTGATTGTGATAGTGAGCTTTTTGACAAGATGGAAAAATATTAACGCGATAAGCGCGAGTTAAAATGCGTGGGTCTAATTGCCGCGAAAAACTAGCTAGTAACAAAATTGAACTTTAATAAAAGGTAAAGACACTGTTAGCGTCACATCATGAGTACCTGAACAACCACTTCATTACTCCATTTAGAGTCCAACCCCATTTTCCTCCAAGCAGTTAGAATATCAATTGATAGGACGTAACCACCGCGGTCAACCCCTTTTTGCACTGTTTCAACCGGTATTGGCTGTCCATGGAGCAATACCATGAAGTTCTCTGTGATACTCCTTTCTCCCAGATCAGAAATCCATAGGCCCAATCTACCAAGTGCCTTGAGAGTAACATTAAACCTAAGGTCATTGTCTGGGACTATCGATATGTCTGAGCTGATTATAGCCGCAGCTCCCGTCATTTTATCAAGCAGTCCTAGCACAGCAACCTTAACTTGCGAGTTCGTTCCTTGGACAGACGATTCCCTTTTTTTGGCAATATCGAATGCATAAACGGGGTATACAGTGAGAATATCCCACCCTTTTGGTTTTAAGGTCACGAGGACTGTTGAATGTGTACCAGATGGGCTCATTGGCTTTGTGACATTCCCCGACGTGTGGCTGCGGATGACGTACTCGTTTTCATTGCTTGACAGGACTCCAGGAAAATCGGATATAGGGAGGAGAGAGGAAGCATCTTCCAACGAAATATTAAAAACGCCTAAGATTCCGCTGCCAGTTCTCGCCCAGCCAGTGAATGATCCAATTTTCAACAGATACCCATCGTCATAGTTATTATACACGTCCCTGCTGTATCCCACAACACTAGGACGGAGGATCACTGTATCCCCTCTCGTTGTTGGGGCAGTCATCTGGTCAATAATAGCCAGATCATGTTTTCCAGGCTCATCTGTTATATAAATGACGCCGCCTGAAACGCATCTAGCGGCTGCATGGAACGATGCATAGGAATGGGAGGTTTGAAACATATCCCAATCCGGAATAACGTTGAGATATCTTGTGAGCAAGCTGTTATGGGCATTACAAAAGGTATGCCAGGTATGAGAAGATTCCACGTCTGGAAAGAAGTCATCCGAATTTCTCAGGACGAGCCGAGGTTTGTTGGTGGGAAGAAGAGAATGAAATATGATTTGCGGCACCTGTGACATGCAGGATATGGCCCTCGCTTGAAAATGTCGTAACATTGATATGGACCAGGAATCTTGGTACGTTGCCATACAGCGCTGCCGAACGTTTGCACCTCTGAAGGTATCCAAAGCGGATTGTACGTCTGTCTTCACTGAATCCACACCTGCTGACGATAAAAACTCATAAAAGTCATTATAAAACAAAGGCACGTCGTCTGGACTGATAATTCTGATGTTGCTGGAGGCAAATTTATCAGTTCTTTTGACCTCTATTGTGTTATACTTGGACGCTATTTCACCGCCGGGTGAAATGCCACCCCAGTAACCCAGAAGAGCGTGCCATACAGCAACGTGCTTTATCCCCTGATTTTGTTGACGGATCTTAGAAATTGTCTGGCGTAGACCATGTGGAAATCCCTCCTGGTTTGCTTCGAAACGTGTCATGCCCCTCTCAAACTGCGATTGGCCTTTGTTATCCAGAGACTGCCAACCGTCGTCAATGATAAGACTAGAAATTTGGATATCATTTTCCTTGAGAGACCGAAGGGTATTTAAAATACTCTCCTCAGTCAAATTACGACCGAGTGAATTCCATGTGCAGTATGACAATCCATCATACCATTCTGCTTGCCATTGTGGCCTTGGCCCATTGTCTACCATTTTTTGAATTGGTTGTTGACATTGGTCAGTTGATTGTATATGCTGTGAAGTCACTGAATAGCCTTGTGATTTCTTTCGAGCTTCATATATTGCTGCTGCCATGGCGATCTCAAACGAACTAGCAATTGCGGCTACCGCCTCAATTTTTGCCGCGCAGTTGTTATCATTTAGTGAGCTTATGATAACTTCACCCTCTTTACCTGATTGGAAGACAGTCAGAACACTATTAAGGCCGCTCACAGAGACCAAAACCAACACAACGCCGTCTTTGTATACGAAAGATGAGACCAGAGCGTCCTCTTTCAAACTGTAGTCCGTCGTCCCGTGCCGTGGCGCCAGCCATGAGGACGAAGCTCGGATGAGAGAAAATGTCCGAACATATTCCCTTGGAGTACCGAGCAGAAGTTTAGAAGACTTGCTCTCTTCGCTGATAGCCGGCTCAATATGTCCACTGATATTCCAAAGCAAAGCACCTGCTGCATCACTCCTCCCAGGTTTAACATCAAGATTATCATTCATCGAATGCAGATAGTCTTGCAGGGAGCGCGGGTTTTCACTCGATAAAGGTTCCAGTGGTTCGATAATAATCTCCCCATTCTTAGATTCAAATGTTTCATTGACCCATTGCCATGTGCCATCTGTTCCCGTTCGATATTTAAGAGTAAACTCTGCATATTTCCCATCTGTAGGAAACGGTATTTCGGCAACAAATGCTTGTCGGAAGCATTTATCTGATATTTCTTTATTTATTACCATGGGCTGAGAGGCAGGAGAGCTCTTCAGTTCAAGTTCTGCCCATACGTCACTCGAGATATTGTGCCAGATCGCAACTTCGCAGGGTTCCTCTGGAATCTGACGAGTTGATTCAAGCACAACTGTAAACCTCAAATTCTGTTGCATAATTACATGTGTAAGCCTCTAAGTTTGTATAGATATCAAAGCACTAGAAAAGGTATATCTCCTATAATAAATTCATTGAGTATAGACAAAACTGGTTTGCTTACATTTTCGAGGCCAACATCACCTGCTGCTCCCCTTTTCCGTTTCATAAACGTTATCTGGCCGAGAGGCGGCCATGAAGTTATGTTAGAGAGAAAACACATCTTTAGGCTCAGGGTATATCGATTTTGAAAGGCGTTCTTCCGTTCTAAGAGCCACAAAATAGTACTTGTTGCCTGCTGTCAAGAAGGCGTTGAGATAGGGTGGCACCTGGAAGCCCGCCCTGTCTGAGTTGGATAAGTCGCTATTTAGGTATTCTCGTCACTCCGGGATAACGAGGTCGCGCCATATAATTAACTGGTTAAACCAGTTACAGCTGGCCGGAATACACCTTCCTTATTTCGACACAGTGGTTAATTAGCTGGCTACTTAAGTGTGGTCAGACCTTGGTGGCCATGAGATCTATTGGATGCAAGTTGGTCATGCACGCAACATCGTTCAAATTAAAATAACTAGTTAACTAATAACTGCCTCATGTGAACTCATATTCTGTGGAGGACATGAGCAGATATGTACTGAGACCCGTTAGTTAAATATACTGTCGCTCCGTTTATACTAGTTATACGATCCGTTAATACAACTGCTTCGTATATGTGACGTCGTCAGCGGCATCAACCTTGAAGATCACCTCCCATGCCTCCAAACGTCACAGTCTTAATCGTAAGGAATTCGTCGATTCCATACTTGCTACCCTCCCGGCCAAATCCACTCTGTTTTACTCCGCCGAATCTAGATTTCGAGTTAGCAAATGCCTAGCTAAACTGGAGTAATAGACCGGTTAAATGCTTACGGGGCAGCTGTATCACTGATAATCCCGGTGTTCACACCAACCATGCCGACCTCTAGGGCTTCGGCAACACGGAAGATGCGCTGGACATCCTTGCTGTAGAAGTAGCCGGCAAGACCAACTTCAGCGGCGTTGGCAAGGTCCACAACTTCCTTCTCCGTCTCGAACGGATAAATGCCAGCTACGGGGCCGAATGTTTCTTCGGATGCCATTCGCATATCTTTTGTCATTTCGGTAACAACCGTAGGGAAAAAGAAGTTCGATCCCAGTTCAGAAGCTCTGTTTCCACCAATAATTACTTTTCCACCTTTGGCTTGGGCATCGCCGACATGTTCATGTACTTTGTCAATAGCACGAGAGTGGATGAGCGGCCCATGTGTAACCCCTTCATTAAATCCATGGCCCAACGTAAATCCTCCTACCTTCTCTGCGAATCTAGAAGCAAATTCATCATAGACGCCTCTTTGGACATAAAGGCGGTTAGCACACACGCATGTTTGACCCGAACTGCGGAATTTGGATGCAATGGCACCGGCAACAGCCGCGTCAATATCAGGAACATCGTCAAATACAATGAAAGGTGCATTTCCTCCTAGTTCAAAGGACAGCTTTTTCATCGTAGAGGCCGACTGCTTCATCAGCAGCTTTCCTACTGCTGTTGAGCCCGTAAACGACACTTTGCGGATTTCCGGAGCAGTCGTAAGAGATAAACCGATTTCAGGGGTGTTCTTCAATGCGGTAACTATATTTACTACGCCCTTTGGGATCCCCGCACGGGTAGCCAGCTCGGCAATAGCATTTGCAGTGAATGGTGTCTCTCCCGGGGACTTGGCCACCACAGTACAGCCAGCAGCTAATGCTGGTGCGATTTTTCGCGTGATCATGGCTGCGGGAAAGTTCCAAGGTGTGATAAAGCCACAAACGCCAACAGGCTCTTTGATTGTCATGATTCTGTTTCCAGGAACTGTAGCCGGGATAGTATCACCGTAAATCCTAGGGGCCTCTTCGCTGAACCATTCGAAAAAGCTGGCGGCATAGTTGACCTCTCCTTTTGCATCGGCTAATGGTTTCCCGTTTTCCCATGTAATAAGGGTTGCTAGATCTTCAGCATTGTCTAGCATTAATTGATGCCACCTTCGTAGCATCCGTGCACGTTCACGAGCAGTGATCTTTCGGAAAGATGGGAATGCAGAAGCTGCGGCATCGATTGCTTTCTGGGTATCCGCTGGTGTGAACTCTGGACAGGTGCCAATGAGTTTACCAGTTGAGGGATCTATATGGAGATTCACATAGCAGACAACAGTCAGAATTTGAAATCAGAGATTCAATGACTGGAGAAAAGTACCATGGACCTCAAAGGTTTCGCCAGAGTTTGCATCCACCCATTCTCCATTAACATAGCATTTTTCAATAAATAAGGATTTATCTTTCAACTATTATGGGTTTTGTTAGGTTATTTTTATATAGGCTTTGTCAAAATAAACCATTTACCTGAGGGACTGTATGCATGGTGTAATGTCGTCTGCCATAGGACGGCGGCGGGATCCGAAAAGAGTATGCAATACGTCGTCGAGAAAATTGCTTCGATATCGAACGAAGAGCGACCACCATCGTGGGTAGGTAGGTCAGGAAAGATGGAGGAAAGCCAGCTATTTAACCTGGATGGCGGAGCTGTGTTGACGTACCTGGGAGGCGGGGAGCAAAGGGCGTATGTAAGGTGCGGAGAGCTAGGGTCAAAGCAGGGCCGGCCCTGGATCCAGTGACTAGTACTCTCCCCAGGTGGTGTAAGGCGGGCACTTCGAATTAGCAGGTTATTCCCATGGAATTAACCAGACGGAATATATTGTCAAACCGCAAAAGCAATAGCAGTTCTTGCTGTGGTTGTTGTTGTTGTGAGTGTTACTCACTTTGTTGCGGTTCCGGCTGTCTGGAAGCTATTTGACGCGCCAAGACGGCATCTCGGTTCGGCGACATAAGCTTAACCTGGCAATCTCGGCCTGGGGAAGCAGCCGTGAAGGGCGTCGAGAAAGAGGTTGTATATCTTTATGTAGCAGAAAGCTGGTAGTATAGTTACAATAATTGCTATTTACCAAAGCTGAGTACTCCTACACTTAATATCATTTATACACCCGCTTGGCAAGCTGAACTTTTGACTCCGCTAGTAGATCCGCATGGGCCTTTTTAAGATGCTGGTTAAGATTCCATGCCCTGGAAAATCCTCTCAATTGACGCGGACAGCCTGCAACGGGACAGTATCTTGCATCTTGTTTTGGATTTTCAATGCCACCGAATATTGGTCCGCTTTCCATCGCTTTGGCTTCCATAAATGACTGATCTGAGTCCGTGTGTTTCCAGCATGGCATGCCATTATCTGTTTTCCCAAGTTGCACTCTACCTTCGTCCATCGTCGTAAATACTTGGTCTTCGCCAAACAGATCTGCACACCGTCTAGAAGCCCTCAGGACTGCATCGGTTGGCCACCCAGTCAACGAGGCCACGCCGAGAATCTCACTCCAGTCACGAAGGCCAAACCGTACAGGCCGTTTTTGAGTGTTCACATGTGAAGACTGGGTAAGTATAAAGCTATCAGAATTATTCTCGGGATGTTGTAACAGTGAATTGGGGGTAATTTCGCCTTCGCTACCATCACCGTCATCATCGTCCTCAGACTCTACCACAGAGTGAGAGAGGCTTTTTTGGCTTGGAGAACTAGCCTCGTCACTTAATGAGCTATTTTTGGTTCTTGGGTTTGACGGTTCCTGCTCTTTTATCGATCTCCGGGACATTGCAGTGCATGTATTTCGTGCCGCCTGGAGATTCAGTAAAAGACCGTCAAGCTTTTCCAGGATATTTCGTGCCTCCGGGCGAAGGAGCCTCCTAGACTCCTCATCATCAACCTGTGTTACAGGATGGAGCTCAGGTCCGGGCGGGACAGATTCCCTTGATCCGTTTTCATCCTGGGGAGGCGGATTTTCGTTATTCATTTGTTCCAGCGATCCCTCCCTCTCAAAGCGTTGAGCACCGCGCCAGTCCCAGGGTCTTGCATCAAACCTTTGCCTGGATATTCTCATCATGTGGGCAATGATACATTCTTCCAATTCCGCACTTGGCCTGTCGTCTGGGGCCATGCTAATTGTCCAGGTATCGTCTGGATCTCTGTTGATACGTTCATCCGCTCTGGGAACTTCGTCAGCAGGCATAGGCCAAGCTGTCCAGCCCCTGTTAGGAGCAAATGATGGCAGAGAATCGTACGGTGCTTCAATCGAAGCTCCATCAAACGCTCTCCCCACCAATGCCCTAGCCTTAATTTTCTTTGCTTTGTTCTTAAGCACAAACGAGTTGTATAGGTGAATGGAAAGGTCTCTTGACTGTATGGTTTCCAATGCGGCAAATTCGTTGCGTTCCCGTTTGGTCCAGCTTCTCCAGGTAGATGGTGGCCCATGAAATTTATTCATACGCGGAGAACTTCTCTCCATCTCTTCAAATGAAGATGGAGGTCCATACTCTTCGTCATCAGAGTTACCAATATCGCTGGAAAATGGTATCGCTGTGTTTTCGCTCTCAAAGACGTGTGTTTCGCTTTGGCCATGATCATCTTCCAAGTTCTCATCATTCTCAAAGCCAGAGTGAGATGAGCTTCCCCCGGTAACAGCATACTGGGCTTCCTGGTTGCTTTGTATTTCACCTGGATTAAACAGAGATACATACTGCCCAGAACCTGCAGAAACCGGGGTGGACGACATCCTTCTCAAAGCACAATGAACTCAAAATAAGCATAGAATGAACCGGCTCTTAAGTAGTTTAATGATATAGTCCAAAATCGATTTCCATCATGGAATAGTAGATTGTATCTCCTAACAAGCCAAGGGATTAATTATGATGAATATTTTTTATCAATTTGCAAGACAAAATTTCGACTTCTAAGTTGTCACTAAAAGCCTGAACAGTCACGTGTTGGTGACCAGATGTCTGGGATATTGATCTTGATGGCTATTTGAAGAATTTAATAACATAAAAATTTAGCCAGTGGAATAGCTATACGGAGTATACCCAGTCGTAAATTAGCAAAACGATTTTATTTCATCTTTTGATTTTGTTCTATATCCTATATCCTCATCAACATCGGCTATAAGATCCTTCATTTTTTCGTAAGACCCTGCTCAATCTTCCGTCGTTTCCTTCTGAGCTTCTCTGCTTCTTCCTCCTTCTTCTTGTTCGAGTACAGCATTTTATCGAGCAATTTTCGCTTCTTCCGGCTGAGCATCATCTTCTGCCGTTCAAGTTCTTCTTCGGCCTTCTTTTTCTCGGCGGCGTACTGCTTGGACTTGGCTCCCTGGCCCTTCTTCTTCGATTTCTTTGCCGACTCGGGCTCGTTTACCGGCTGCAGACCCAATGCTTCCGCTTCTAGCTCCTTTTGATGCTGTTTCTGGGCTGCATCAGCTTCATCTTCGGATTCTTCGTTGAAGTCTGGCTCCTCGCCAAAGCCACCAAAAGATTCATCCGCATCGGCGTCGCTGTCTTCCTCTTCATCCTCATCTGAGTTTGCAATATCCATGCCACCATTTAGTGACTCTTTATCAGATTCTTCTTCTTCATCAACGGCACCTTCCTTCTCATCCGCCTCTGCAGATTCTTCCTCTCCCTCTTCCTCCTCTTCACTCTCCTCCTCTTCCTCGGCAGCCCTCTCGGCTTCGCCTTCTTCTTCTTGGTCCGCCAGGCTCATTCGAGGGTCATACTCGCCATTAGATGGCTTAACCCATGGGCTAAGATGAGGAGGTAGAATAGCACCAGGTGCATAGAGGTCTGGCCTGAGAAGCTTCCCATCATTCACGCAGTCCCATACCCATTGGGGCTGGATGTATATCCGACCGGGAATTCTATGCCCAGGTCGTACTCTAGGAATTGATTCTTCGCCTTCTTGAGGATTCTGGGGTAATGGAGGAAGGGCCGACTCTGCGAGAGGGGGACGATCAACAATTTGATGTGTTATCCTGGGGTCCAATTCGTTATGCGTGAATGCTCCGTCTCCTAGCACGGAATCCCATCCTACACGCTTACAGCCAAAGGCACGTAGCAGAAATTCAAGAGGCGCACGAGGGGCTTCTCTTGAGATGAAAATGGTAAGTGGTGCAAATAAGGCGGCAGCTTCATTCCCACTAATTTGCGGCTGGGGGAGAGTGTCCGCATCTGGCGCTGTTGGCTCAAAGGTATCAATTGCATCCTCACGTTCAGCCGGAGTCTCCTCTGCTGGGGCTTCAGAGGTCGTGTCGATTTTGACATTCTTTAGGATTGTGTTAACTTTTTCCTGAACCTCCTTTGAAACTGATTCTGATTCTTTATTTTCGGCGGCTTCGATAGCAGCATGGTTGCCATCTTCAATTTTCCTGCCTTCCAAAGTAAAGGCCGCAAGCTCTGCGCCCTGCTCATCACTCCTAACATCAAACTTTGGAGGATACACAAGTCCAATGGAGGTATACAGACGGAAGTTAACAAAACCAAGCAGAGTTGTGTAGAACTCTACAAATGTTCCCATGATTCTGAAGTCAATATCGCCAGCTACCTGCTGCACGAAGCGGTATGGAACGAGCCATAATATATCCTGACCCTGGATTGTAGCTTGATAGTAGATTCCCTTTATCGAGAGGAAAGATTTGCGAAGCGAGTTGGTCGCAATCAGGTAATGCTGAAATTCATGGCATAGCCTTTGGCAGCGGGCGATGGTCTTTGGGGGAACGGTTGCAGTAGATGGGAGGTTGGCGAAAAGGAATAGTAGCGACAAAGCATCATCTAGGTCGTGCAGAGCATCGATGAATGTAGGATAGCGCTCCTTGACAAGATGATCAAGGGTAAGCTTTGGTGCAAGGTTCTTCTCCAAGCGTGATGCATCTCCAACCTGGCCACGTCCGAGGGCTCTGGCAATCTTCTTTGAAAGGGCTTTCTGTTCGCGAAACCTATTTAGGAGTGGCTCATGAAGCAGATATTGTATATCTCGAGTGTAGTAAAAAGTGGTGTTTGGGGTTGCTGTCTTTGAGGCCTTTTTCTTGTTCCTAGGTTCGCGAGGATAGATTCCTGTATACGGGAGTCAACACTGCTTCCATATCAACCGCAACCCTGAGCAATTATAGGGCATACCCTTAAAAATACATAGTCGCCTGAAATCGGGGAGTGAAATTTGCAGCTTTCTCACGGCCTGTGTTCTTGTAATGTAGTTTTTGGCCTGGCCAGAGGTTCCTGTTTGAACGTGTTAGCATAACTAAGTACTCGAGCAGAAAACACCCACTGGAGTAGACAGTACCTTTCTTCTTAATCTTCCCCATCTTTGCGACCTTTGCGACAGCCTAGTAAAAGTGCAGATATGTCGTAGATAGAAACCGGCGCAAATCGGTTTTTTTTTCTTCTTCTTCCAAAAGTTCGAAACTTTTTATCACAAAAAAAAAGCTCGAGATGGTCCGAGCGTCTCCACTTTATCCTTTTTTCCGCGCGCTAAAAGGAACGAAGGCAAAGAAGAAGCGAAGCAGAAGAAGCTGAAGGAAGAAGAAGCTGACTGGGTTGACTGAGTTGACTGCGATGCTCGCCCGGCAGAGGTACTGAGCGATGCCAATTGACAGGAGGAAGCTGGGTGTGTTTGGGGCGGCGGTCGCCCTGCGACTTGTCCTGATCTTGCTGTTCCCCGGCCTCCCTGACCTACTGACTGGTCGTGTCGAAGTGTCAACTCCGATCAGCAGCTTTAAGAGATGTGCGTACAACCAGCAATTTCTCTTCTGGTCTTATGAACATACGTGTTAACCGTCCCTTTTTCTCATGTTATAGTGCAAGAAGGCTTGTTCTTATATCTTCGGAATGTTTCCCCATACGACGGCGGGGTGTTTCACCAGGTGCGCATTTAGACCTCACCCTACGATGTTGTTGCCATCCCTTTGCTGACCGAGTATTATGGAATACAGGCACCTATATTCCTCCCGCTGTTTTCCCTCCTACCGCAGTCCCATGGATACACTCTCCTGACGGTTCTTGTTTACACCCTGCTAGATCTCATCAACGCCAATGCGCTAATTGAGATATCAAATTCGGGCGAGTCGGTTGTGTCACGGCTATTCACTTCTCCCAGAAAGAAGATAAGATGGGATGGTGTCGCTATTGTGATTGGGTATAGCATAATCTAGCTCTTGCGAATATACATATGGCATCTAACAGCTACCCTTCTAGATACCTATTTAACCCCTTTACAATAGCGACTTGCCTAGGGCGCCCTACCACAGCTTTCACAAACACCGCCATAATATTTGCGATATCGAGTGCGATTACCGGCAGGAGTGTTAACTCTATGCTGGCCTTGGGCCTGGCATCCTACCTTTCCGTCTATCCCGCCCTCCTGTTTCCACCTTTAGTCTTGATTTGTTATGATCGTTATATCAGCAAAGTAAAATCTGGAGGCAGCAGCATACCATACGCCGCGTCACATTTTCTCATCTTCACTGCGGTTATTGCAGGATTGTTGGTCATATCGTTCGGTATAACTGGCTACTCGTGGGACTTCGTCTCTGCCACGTATGGCGCGCACATATTGGTTCCAGACTTGACCCCCAATGTCGGCTTATGGTGGTATTTCCTGATCGAAATATTCGACCCGTTCCGTGAATTCTTCCTAGGGGTATTCTGGTTGCACTTAGCAAGTTACGTGGGCGGCCTGACCATACGCCTAAGGCGGCAACCGCTTTTCGTCATGACATGCCTTCTTGGTATATTCGCCATCTTCAAGCCCTACCCCAGCATATCGGATGTTTCGATATACCTGTCGTTCCTTTCGCTCTACCGACACGTATTCCCTCGTATGTATTACCACATCCATATTGTCCAATTCAACCCACTAACACAGCCTAGTAATGCGTTATACCTTCCTTTCCGTATCGGCGTTGTTGTATGCCAGTCTTCTTGGCCCAATCTTTTATCATCTGTGGATATACGCAGGTTCAGGAAACGCCAATTTCTTTTATGCCATCACGCTGGTATGGAGCCTTGGACTCTCTATCCTCGTTGCGGACTCACTATTCGCTGTTCTCAGGGATGAATGGGACGAAGAAAGGCCAGAAGTAAGAGGGAAAGAAGCAAGACAGATATGACGATATAGCTTCAATTGATATCGGGTACCGTGATATCCATCCTCTCACCGCTATCACTTGTAAGCGGCTGGGACATAATCATATAATCGTATTCTTTCACCCTTCCGTTCCGCAATTTGACTGGCTTTGGCGAATTCTCATCTTCTGTGAAGCCAAGCCGTTCGTAAAATCGAATAGCGCTCTTGTTAGATTTGAAAACCGTGAGCATCCCTTTTCGAAGGCCGATATTTTTGCCAATGTCTTCGAATATTCGAAGTAAGTGTTTTCCGACACCCTTGTGCTGCACCTCCGGGGCAAGGTGAACTTCATAACAGTAGAGCACCTGTATCTCGTCTTCATCGGTAGCCATAAAGGACAAGAAACCTCCAACGGTAGGCATAGCCAAACTACCTTCGGCTTCATGATTTTTTTTGGCAACAAGCACCATATACCGCATGTCTAGCAGTTTCATTTCTTGTCTCTTTTTACGAGCTGACCAACCGCAGGCTGACTGCTTATATGCTGCTGAACTGGTGAGATATATAAGATCATAGCACGCATTCATATACGGTTCAGGCATTGAGGCAGCAGAATAAAACTGAACTGAGTAGGTAATATGTCCAGGCTCTCCGGGGATGTCATCTGAGCACCGGGCAGGGATCCGGATAGTAAGATCTAAGGCATATGATGGTATATATCGATGAATAAACTCGCTGAATGGAAGCGAATTAACACTTTCAATAAGTGATTTATGATCTTTTACACTCGGTTCTGCCTCCCTCTTAGTATGAAATGTTCAATAGTCGGAACTCGAATCGCACCACCAGGCTAGTCACCTTTTACGCGTGTTTTTGGTATGTTTATAGGACGTTCAGTGGGTGGAGGCAAGTCCGCGGCCACCGTTGGCCCTGAGTTTCTTTTTCGCTTTTTAACCAGCATTGGTGTGGTGTTCTGGTTTTGAGATGAAAGGGTGAGATTGTAGATGGTCGTCGTTGAGTGTTGTAAGGTCTGAAGCGCGCTTTAACTAATAGGCACCAAGTCGCGGCTATTTTGGTTATCGATAAGAGCCTACTACATAGCTTCTGTTCTTCATATCAAATTTTAACCATAGTCGATTTTATTTAATATTCTTATACCCAGGTCTAAAAAAACGATAGTAAAGGATAAAGGATACCAATGTTCATGATTTTATACACCCAATGAATGACTGGCCATGCAAGGGACCATCCGATTGCTGGCCGGGGTTGCGAGACCGGGCTCTAGGTTGAAGCCATCACCCTTGAATTTAGAGCAGGTAGGCCGTGTATTTTAAAAAGTTTACGCAAATAATTTCAAAGAGCCTGGGATATACTGACAGAATGTTTCTAGTTCTTAATACGCCAGCGGGTTCTAAGCCTATGGCGTGATATCCTGAGATCAACCAAGCGTGAGCAACCCGCCACCTTCAAAAGTGCTCAATTGTCTAATGGTTAATGACTGAAATGCCACTTGGATATTTAGGGATACCCAACTCATCTACTAAACATGAATTACGATCATTTGCTCGTGGAGAGTTTGAGCGGCATAGAAACGTCACGGATGCGGTATGTCCAAATATCTTCTCCCAACCATAAAAACATGTTTGTAACTCTGTAATAGGGTCATATAAGATATCTACTTTCGGTACGGCTAATTATAGCGAATATTTTTGCACCATATACCCATACAGAGTACTGACATTCTATGAACCTAGACTGGGAAGACAGAGTTTGATACTATGAGACGGTATATTGACGAACAGATCGTCTAGCTGGCCCGACGGCGGCCTCTTCTTGAATTCATCCAATCTAGAGATCTTTCATTTGTGTATTATACATGTGTACATTACTTCACAGAGCGGAGCTCAGCTAAAACTGGCCGTATGCTCCTTTCCAAACCCTGGCATTACAATGGCCACAAACGCCTGTCCCGGTTGATAATATACAAATTGCAGCGATTGAAGATAACCATAATATCCTCGGACTTTACTTTGAGCCCCATGATAAATTTTTCACAGCCGAAAGTACACCGCCTGAGGCCCCATCCTTGCTGTCACCGGATTCCTTCGCTGATTCCTCTGGGATTTCACGACCTGCGGCATCCGGCGCCGAGTCAGCCACCAAGGGCTTCACTTCAACTCCCTTTGCAGCTTGTTCAATGGTGGCATGTCTGCTCTGCCAGTCTTTATCCTCCTGATCTCTTATCTCTAATTCCTTCAGCCAGGCATCCCGCTTCGCCTGCTGTTTCTTTAAGTCCATGGCCTTTTCTAACTGTTTTCGCTGGTCCCGCTCTGTTTTGTAATATACACTGCCGGCGCAGACGGCAAGTAGAGTGAATGCTTGTGCGTATATACGGGCGCGGAACATGCGGTTGACTTGTACGGAGTCGCCCATCTTCATAGATCGGTATGCACGAAACAGAGCATAACAGGTTGCACCGATTCCTATTTGCGCCCACCAACCCGTTAGCAAACACAATCTATTTTACCAGGACTAAAATTTCCATGATGTTCAGAGAACCAAGGAGGAGAAAGATGAAATCTCACCTAGAGGAACCAGAGGCTCTTCTTTCAATCGCCGACCCAGCTTCTTCCAGGCACTGTCCTGGAAAAAGTCTCTATGGCCAAGGTCAGTTCGAGCCCCGAGGAGCGAGCTGTGCAGATATGACTTACGGGTCGTCGTCAAACGAGGACGGTAACGGCTTATCACCCATTGTGCTCAACAGTCCCTTTTATGACATAGAGTGAGGCATAGGAACTGCCTTGTTGTCTGTATCTACAAGGTAAACCGTCACCTCCGGCATGGATGGCCCGGATCGAAGATAGAGCGGAATTTAGTAGGACCGAGGCTCGCCCGTCGCAAAATCGATCGATTTCTCGTCATAACATTCGACACGCCGTATATAGATTACTTGACCATCAGGTATGTTTTTTCTAGCTAGAGACGGCAACTTAGGTCGTTATATGACAAGGCTTTGACTGGCGACTTGGTTGAGCCAGGAAATAAGACGACTAACATTCGGGTATGAGCTCTTCGACTAGCTATATTTATTGAACAGCCTACAGAGAACTCCGTAGTTGATCGCTCTTTAACAGTCAAAGCCAGTCAACAACAAGATATACTGGAATAAACGTGTATTATGGCTTGCGATGCCCGCACTGGTCGTCGAATATCTGTCACCCACACATACCGCTTCCCTCCCTCTCTTCACCAGAGCGGCCAAAGGAAGACCTGCAAGACCGTGACACATAACATATGCCAGCAAACATCCTCACCGCCGGGCGCACCTGCATGCAATTCACGAAGGACAGAGAAATTCAAACAGTGTGGAATCCGACATCGGCAGCGCTCGTGGCTCCCAGTGTAACCTGTGAAAGCAATAACTCTTTCTAGCCGTACTTCGTAGATGCAAAAGATGCAGGGATACACAGGAGCATCACACTGACTGGCCTTTCACTGACAGCTCTTCATCTTCGTAGCTGTCAATTTATGATTCACACCCGGTGATAACCAATTAACTGGGGCTTATTTAACTAACCAACCTCGGGGCTTTTTGGGCGATAAAGGAGAGGGAAAAAAAGAAATAAAAATTGCATCATAACCAGTTAGAATTTTAGTTAAACAAAAAAGTGTTAAAGAACGTCCTTAAGCTAAATATATAAATTCTGAGGAGCACCAGAGGAGTCATAAATCCTTGCTTGCTTGCTTAGCTACCTGTCCAGGCCAGCTTGCATTTCCCGTTATTTCCTTAGCTGTTTAGCCACCCGGAAGTCGTTGGTAGAAGGCGCAGTTTCGTCGGGTCGTAGCCAGCTCACGGAGACCACAATGGGCGACCAAGTGCCCAACGGCGCAAGAACTCCTACTCGGAACACCCTCTCCTTGACCGAGTACACTACTGCTCCCTCTCCTCCCTCCAAGTCGGGGGACTCTCCGCCAGAATGGGACATTCCCGAGGGATTCCTGCTGCCAAACGGATACCCAGATGTATGGTCGATAGCTCGAGTTTTGGTAGACACGGCACGCTAACAAGTTCTCTGCAGTACATACGGCTCATCCTGACATCTCGAGTATATGATGTGATTCAAGAAACTCCTCTTACGCATGCTGTCAACCTCAGCAACCGGCTAGAATGCAAGGTCATGCTGAAGCGGGAGGATCTCCTGCCTGTCTTTAGCTTCAAGCTCCGGGGTGCCTATAACAAGATGGCGCATCTACAAGGAGAGAAGCGGTGGAAGGGAGTTATCGCTTGCTCTGCTGGTGAGATTAACGCTGTTTCTTTTTTTTTTCTCAAGATTAATTCACCAACATACACTTTTCACTGTTGGTAGGTCGTACGTATTGACGCTGTGTGACTAGGAAACCATGCTCAAGGTGTTGCATACTCTGCACGCCAATTGAAGATCCCAGCTACAATCGTCATGCCTTCAGGGACCCCAGCAATTAAGCACAAGAATGTCTCGAGGCTGGGTGGGACGGTCATCCTCCATGGGCAAGATTTTGATGCTGCAAAGGAAGAAGCGCAGAGGCTCGAGAAGCTCCATCATCTCACAAACATTCCGCCGTTCGACGACCCGTATGTCATTGCTGGACAAGGTACATGCGGCATGGAGCTTCTCAGGCAAGCAAACCTACAGAACCTGGAAGCTGTGTTTTGCTGTGTTGGAGGTGGCGGCCTGATCGCTGGTGTAGGTACCTACATAAAACGTATTGCGCCCAACGTTAAGGTTATAGGAGTCGAGGCAGCTGATGCGAATGCTATGAAACAATCTCTGGCTTCTGGAACACGCATCACGCTCAAGGAAGTTGGCCTATTCGCAGATGGTGCTGCTGTGCGAGCAGTGGGCAAGGAGACCTTCCGACTCTGCAAAGAAGTAGTTGACGAAGTTATCGAAGTGTCGACCGATGAGACCTGCGCAGCAATCAAGGATATGTTTGAAGATACCAGATCCGTCGTCGAGCCCGCTGGAGCTCTAGCCCTAGCCGGCTTGAAGAAATACATATCGAAATACCCATCAAAAAACCCCAATCGAGAACTAATCGCCGTTGCATCCGGAGCAAACATGAACTTTGATAGACTTCGATTCGTGGCAGAGCGTGCTGGTCTAGGAGAAAAGAAGGAGGCCTTGCTACGTGTTTCCATCCCCGAGCAACCAGGCTCCTTTGCGAAACTTATAGACGTCGTAATGCCGCATTCTGTCACAGAGTTCAGCTACCGGTATTCCGGTAAGGAATTTGCTGATATCTTCATGGGAATATCACTTTCCACTTCATCGGACGCTCATGACCTGCAAGCTCTGACCTCTCAGCTTCAAAATGGAGGCATGGAGGCATCAGATTTGAGCAACGATGAGCTTGCAAAGACGCATCTTCGGTATCTTGTCGGTGGACGGCCAAGCACCCCAGATGAAAGACTGTTCATGTTCGAGTTCCCCGAGCGTCCCGGTGCCTTAGAGAAGTTCCTGACTACCCTTCGCCCAAATCAAAATATCACTCTCTTCCACTATCGAAATTTTGGAGGAGATGTTGGTAAAGTTCTGGCTGGTATCCAGTGTCCACCTGATGAGAGAGAATCGCTAGGAGCATTCCTTCATGATCTCGGTTATCCTTTCACCGAGTGTACTGAATCGCCGGTATACCAGATGTTCCTTAAGCAATAGCGGTTGGTCATGAACGCTGCCCGAGCTTATAATGATTGATATATTCTTCAAATATTCCAAAAAGTACCCAATAGAGTAATAATTGGATCATCGGGTTGTCCAATTTATTGTTTCCGCCGCAGGATAGCAGTTCATTTGGTATGGCAGTTTATTGTATTCTTCCTGTAACTACCCTGTGGTGTAGATTTCTTAGTTAAAGCTATGTGAGGGTAAAGACGGTCGTGAGTTTTAAACATGTCAATTCATATGGCAATGACAGGAACATATCCCAATCTCTTGGTTAAATAGCCTAAGGTCTTGCGCATCGTAAGTTTGCAGGCGCGGCTGGCGGCTAAATTCGGAACTCGGTAAAATAAATTTCCCCAGCGCCAAGACACCTTGGAACGTCGAAATCTGAACGAAGATGGCGAGCAGTTAGCAAGGTCTAAAGAAATAGCAATTGACATTCTTAACGAAGAAAATTACCCGTTTAATCCGGTTATTGACGATTCCGAAGGCTCTATATCCTCAAAGCTTGGTGGTCTTGCTATATAACAACCATTGACCCTTCACCTCGCCCTTTTTAAAACCTAAGGCCGGCGCAATGCTGGGCCTTCGATCTCTCCTCTCCACGCCCTCGAAGCTCCCGCTCTCTCAAATTACATCGGCCTACCCGCGGAGAATATGCCAAACTGTTTTTCTTCGAACCTTTTCGCAAACCTCTTGGGGCAGCCTTTCAACTAGATCGATATGGAAAGCTTCCGAGACCCTTTCGACGGGGCTGAAGAGCCTGTGCTCGCGAGGTGTGCGATCTCTTGGACAGACCCGGGGAATGAAAACACGATCATCCGTTAAGCGGCTATGCGATGGGTGCAAGGTACGACATTTTACCCATACTGCGCGGTCCTGGGCTTGTGACAGCCGTACCGCTTAGGGAACCCGCCTTTATAGAAGCAATAGTTTGCTAACTTGCCCTATTTTATCATGTAGCCTGTTCGACGGAAGAATCGGGTGTACATTATTTGGTACGTTTGCGGAAATTACCTGTCAATGACTCCGTTTCTGTCGGTATGCTAACTGCCGTTCTAGCTCCAAGAACCCAAAACACAAGCAGAGACAAGGCAAATAGGCGGAATCAATGTTGGAGTTACATGTATTTTTACCCATTATAAACCGGGAACTTGAGGGATATGTGAATTTATGAGGTGGTATAGACCGTCTTTGCTACTGTTTTCCACTTCTTGAATGTGTATAATATTATGACTTTGCTCAGCCAGTATTGCAATATCCGTACCTTGTGCATGCTGCACTCACGGCTCCCCAGGAACAAGATGAATATCCAAGAGGAATTAAATTTCCCATGTGCATGTTCAGGTTCTCATTGTAGTTATGTACACTATAGCGAGGGCGCACAATTAACTTCTCCAATATTCTCCTCTAGGTTTTGGAGTTTTTTCAATAATATGTCCAGTTATGCTGCTGTTTCCCGATACCAACTGCTCTACTCCGTATTTCAGCCATCTACATGTCTCTTATCGTAATATGTAACTTGAATGCAACGTACTGCTATCAATCCAGCGCTTATATAATCAGGAACCTTAAGTCATGTGACAAATATCGATCTTGGCAAAAAACATTAAGTTTTGAAGCTCAAAAAGATTTAAAGATTTGAAGATTTGAAGATTGAAGATTGGAGTAGCAAAGAAACCAATTGGTTTAAGAGCACCAACGACCGTTTCAATATGAGGGCTCACACCTTGATGCGACGGCCAGTCCGCGCGTTCACGAATCTTTCACGCACTTCAATTCGATTGCAATCCACGACACCTTTTGCCCAACGATGCCTCTTCACTACTCCACTCACTTCCAGCAACACCTCCGTACCCCGGTTTCCGCTGAGCGGACGATGGGTGCCCCGGAGGTGTCTAGCAACTGCAGCAGAAATGTAAGTACCCTGAAATTTTCTCCCGTAACTTAGGTCTGTGAGCTCAATTGCTAATTATGGCTGTAATTGTAGCCTTGAACAAGCTGCGAACCCTGAGGAACTTACAGAAGCCACAATTATAGAAAATATGAAGCCAGATGAAATAAAGCACATGTCTCGCATGCGAAACATTGGAATTGCTGTTAGTTATCCTCTTCGAACACCCGGGCGATCACTCACTCACCATCTTCTCGCTATAGGCACACATTGACAGCGGAAAAACTACTTCGACGGAGCGAGTCTTATTCTATACCGGACGTATCAAGGCTATCCATGAAGTCCGTGGCCGTGATTCTGTTGGCGCAAAGATGGACTCTATGGACCTCGAGCGTGAGAAGGGTATTACAATTCAGTCAGCTGCTACCTTTTGTGACTGGGTCAAGAAGGAGAATGGCAAGGACGAAACCTACCACATCAACTTGATCGACACTCCCGGGCACATCGATTTCACTATTGAGGTTGAAAGAGCCCTTAGAGTTCTTGACGGTGCCGTTTTGATTCTTTGTGCTGTCTCCGGAGTTCAGTCGCAGACAATGACCGTTGATCGACAAATGAGACGATACAACGTTCCCCGAATCTCGTTCATTAATAAAATGGATCGTATGGGCGCAAACCCTTTCAAAGCTGTAGATCAAATCAACCAGAAGCTGAAGATCCACGCTGCTGCCGTGCAGGTGCCAAATTGGAAGAGAAGACCAGTTCAAGGGTGTTGTCGATGTTGTCGATTCTGATAAGAAATTTACAACGAAGGGTCAAACGGTGAAATCATCGTTGAGAAGGATGAAATTCCGGAAGATCTCCTCGATGTTGTTCAGGAGAGACGAAACAAGCTGATTGAAACTCTCGCCGATGTTGACGATGAGATTGCGGAAATATATCTCGATGAGAAAGAGCCAACTCAGGAGCAGATCAAGGCTGCTATCCGCAGAGCGACCATCTCTCTAAAGTTTACCCCGGTTTTTATGGGATCTGCTTTAGCCGATAAATCCGTTCAACCTATGCTGGATGGTGTCTGCGACTATCTCCCCAGCCCTGCAGAAGTTCCCAATTTGGCTCTTGACCAGAAGCGAAACGAGGCTAATGTTAAACTTGTTCCATATGCTGACCTTCCTTTTGTTGGACTGGCCTTCAAGCTTGAAGAGAGCAACTTCGGTCAGCTTACCTATATTCGCGTATACCAAGGTACCCTGCGAAAGAGTATGAACGTATTCAATGTGAAGAACAACAAGAAAATCAAGGTTCCGCGAATTGTACGAATGCATTCCAACGAGATGGAAGAAGTTTCGGAGATTGGCCCCGGTGAAATTTGCGCTGTCTTTGGTGTTGATTGTGCCTCTGGCGATACGTTTACAGACGGAAAACTGGGATACACCATGTCTTCCATGTTCGTGCCTGAGCCTGTCATTTCATTATCCATCAAGCCGAAGAGCTCAAAGGACCTCGCAAACTTTTCTAAGGCTATCAATCGTTTCCAGCGAGAGGACCCTACATTCCGTGTTTACTTCGATGCAGAGAGTGAGGAAACTGTTATCTCAGGAATGGGTGAATTGCATCTTGATATCTATGTTGAGCGCATGCGCCGTGAATACCGTGTCGACTGCACTACAGGACGACCAAGAGTGGCATACCGTGAAGCTCTCGGAAAACGAGTCGAATTCGACCACCTTTTGAAGAAACAGAGTGGTGGCCCTGGTGACTATGCCCGTGTCGTTGGTTGGTTAGAGCCATCTCCAAAACTTGAAGTCAACGAGTTCGAGGAACAAATCGTTGGTGGCAGCATTTCAGAGAAGTTCTTGTATGCTTGCGAGAAAGGTTTCAACTTGGCCTGCGACAAGGGTCCTTTGATCGGCCACAAAGTCCTGGGAACTAGGATGGTCATCAACGACGGTGCCACCCATATGACTGACTCTTCAGAAATGGCATTCAAGATTGCAACTCAACAAGCCTTCAGGAAGGCTTTCAAAGAGGCCGAGCCCCATATTCTAGAGCCTCTTATGAAGACTGTTATTACTGCCCCAACGGAATTCCAGGGTGATATCATTGGCCTCCTGAACAAACGCAATGCCATCATTAATGATACTGAGACAGGTGTTGATGAATTCACTATCTTCGCTGATTGCAGCTTGAACAGCATGTTTGGCTTCAGCAGTCATTTGCGAGCAGCCACCCAGGGTAAGGGTGAATTTACCATGGAGTTCAGTCATTACGAAAAGGCCCCAGGGCAGCTCCAGTAAGTAACCATCCTTCGATCATACCGGAATTTTTTGACTATTGAATATTAACGATGTTGGCTTGTAATTTTTAGGAAAGAACTTGTTGCTGAATACGAGAAGGCTCAGGCTGCACGACACAAGTAAAACCTCGATCGATGAAGATGCCGTTCAGATTCTAATGAAAATGAAACACGGCTGCTGCACCCATTTCACATACAATTGCTACCATATATAATCTGCTTTCCCCCGGAATTCGGCCAGCTAAAGTTATCCTTTTCACATTACTGTATTCTAAAAAGATTTCTTGGGAGGAGCAAGGATGGGCCAGTTTTTTTAGATTTCCCCCTTTACTGTTTCTGCATGTTGTCTTGCTGTTTTCCCGAGCATTTGCCCTTGCCTTCCTTTTTATTCAACTTACTCTGTACCATAGATTGTACAAAACCCCCTTTGGAGCTCCAAAAATGCCCTCTCTTGCTTGACCTTGGCGTGGATATAGATCAAGTCGGTTCAAGGGACAAAATGGGTAGCGAGGTTTAGAGCGACTATACATAAAGGATAAATCACCCTACTCTAACAACCACAACTAATAATGAAACACAAATTAGGATGACTTAATATATTCTATTCTATACTCTTTCTATAAGCCTTTTTCTAGGAGCAAGTCTGTTCTGGACATCTATACGGGTTTATCGAGAAGCCTCAGGAGAGCAACAGCGACTGTATTGAGAGTACCGATCTCATTATGACCTGTATTGTAATAGATAAAGTCAGTAACTAGCACGGGTAATAGGGGAAGGAACTGAAAGAATGAACGAAGAGCGTCATACCTCCATATCTAACTCTTTCCCACCTAACTCTCTTCAATGCCTTGCTAGGCCCATCCTCTCTTTCCCAGACGGAGGACTGGATAACCCCGTCTTCGGAAGTATGGCTATGTATAAATGATCCAAGTTCAGTGGCCATTTCTCCACCAGTAGCTGCATCCCACACACTCTTACCCTCACGCCATGGGATATCGCGGTCGTTTATAGCGTGTATAATAGTCAAATCAAATGGCAGCGACTCGTGGCCTTGTGCATGATTTGGGGAAATGCCTGTCAAAGCGGCAAGTCTAGCAGCTGTGTCCCATCGATCCAGAAGACGGTCCAGTATATACTTCTTCAGCTGAGGATATTGAAGCAAAGGTGAAAGAATTGGAGGAATAAAACCCATGATGCAGTAAGAGTTCAGTAGCTGTGGAATATTGGTAAATGGTGCCATGAGAATGACTCCTGCAAATGGCTCCTTAGCCTTTACAGAGGAGAAGTCTGTAGGATTTCCGAAAGTATGGCGTTCAGCTAACGCACTGGCAACAGCTGTCCCTAAGCTTTGACCGGCAATGATGATTCTTTTGGGGGAAATTGAGAGTGGTGGTGAGGTTAGGTAGTTAACCACAGTAAGAGCATCTGTAATAAGGCCTTCTTCTGTTGGTTTGCCAGTGGACCTCCCGAACCCCCTATAGTCAAATGCAATAACATGCACCGGACGAGACGGAGTAGAGGTGGACAAGAAATTTTGGTAGACCTTGGGACGATATCCAGTTCCAATGTCAGCTGCATTTCCATGAACTGTAAAAAGATGTTAACATGACTGTTCTCTAATGATCTATGTATCAAGATCTGTTACATACGATTCACAACCACTCTCGAGTTAGTGTCCTTGGCTAAAAGCTGAAAAGCAGGTGTCTTGGTAATGTCTTCTGCAGGTCCAGAAGTATGATTCTGTAGAAGCAGGTTTTCATTGTCCTTGTAAAGGTGTGGGGGAAGAATGTGCCAGGAGTAAAGCGTTTCATTATCAGGGGTATCAAGAATGAAAGGCTGGACCTGGGATTCTACTTCTTGGTTAATATGCGGTTGGCAGGATAAAATCTAGGGCCATACGTACTAAGGAACCCGAAACATTCAACATTGTTTAAGTCAAGACACTTTGATGGGTTAATCCCATTGGAGTAGAGTACGCTAGGCGGGGTATCAGCAAATACAACATCCAGTGGTAATATGGAACTCAAATAGGTACCCTCTCTGGATTCCTGGATGCGTCAAGGACAGAACAGCCAGTACATATAAAAGGCCGCTAGCTGCCAGAAGCCAGTAGGCCTTTTTGAATATTGGAAGAAGCTCCATGAATCAAACTGTTAATCTATATCAAATCATCGTTAACCGGGCATCCTGGGAACTCATGTATTCTCACCAACGAGCTATGAAAGCCAGGTAACTTTGTGACACACCTGCCGCCGTAACTAACCTGATTTTTTGTACCCAAACGCGTTATAATAGCACTTTTGCCATCAAGAGGGTAGAAATATATCGTATAATGAACACACACCGGCACCAAAAGTGAATATGCGCTCTGTACGGAGTATGTGAGTGAAGAAAGCATGTCGTTTATTTTAAACACCAACGAACGATTCTAGCTAGTTCGGGAAAAGGGAGGCTGAAAATCACAGGCCAAGCAAAGTTCCGCGCTTTCGGGATTTTTACTTTTAACGACTTCGACATTTCGCGTCTTGGGCATCACTTCTTGGTTCTGCGCGCCGCGGACCTTTTCAACCAGCAACAAGGCTAGCACTTTGCCTATTCAGCCGTCAATATGGCAGAGAAGCGAAAGCAGCCCGGGCCTGGTAAGAATCGTGGCGGCCGGCCCCGCAAGAAGAGACTGGAAGATGCAGCGGAGGCCTCTCCATCCCCAAAGCGACAGCGAAGAAAGGAGTCCTCGGCCACGCCGTCGAAAAAGGCTACTGTGACACCCGTACCGTCTCTTCCCGTAGAGCCTCCCGCCGAAGAAACACTTCCTACCAAGATATCCGAGAATCAAACGCTACCAACCCTTCCCCGGCCGCAAACACAGGGCTCCTTATCTGACTATCAGTCATATGCAGAGAGGTGCGTGGACAAAGCGGGATAGAGATGAATACTGGACGGGTCGACCTAGGAGTCAAAGGTTATGCTAACCTGTTATGTGATTAGTGGTGTTATTACTGCTGCGCTGCATCGATCACGGACGAGATGGCTTCATGACTGTCTTTTCGAGAAGTACTGGACTAAGCCATCAAAGAAAAAGAACCAACCTCAGCCGACATTTCAAAATCCTCCAAAGGACTCAATGACCAAGTTGGGACCTTGCACGATGGTTATTGAGCCTCACTACTTCGATATCATGCTATATACCGTACGACGGCCGCAATCCCAACAGCCGAACCAGCAACAGCAGCAGAAATCCATGGCCCAACTCCAGTATACACCCCCAAGTAACTCGAACCAGTTTCATGAGTACAATCCTCGGTTGCCTGCAGCCCAGGCGCCCCCGAATAGACCCTCTAATGCTGTCCCTGCCCCTCAGGCACCTCAACAGCCACAACAGCAATACCAACATCACCAACAACAAACATTACCTCCTCCTCCTCCACAACCACCAACACAACAGCAGCGGCAACCACCTCCATTGCCCCAGAATCCTCCCATTTCGCAGACTCAAAAATCTCTGTCTACTAATCCACCGCCTCCTGGGCCGGTTCACCAACCCCCACCATCTCACCCTCATGGCCATAACGCCCCACAGAGGCCACCAAACCCTCCACCTGGGAAGCCAAGTACTGACCCAGTTATCCAGCTCCTCGCCAATAGAGCTGCCACCAACCCTGACCTAAGGGCATTGATGAGGATAGTAGCGGACAGCCAGGCTGACCAGGAACAGCTTCGAGCTTTCCAGGCACATATCGACGAAATAAACGCAATAATTGCTAGTAGAAATTCGAAGGACTCACAGCCAAACCAACCACCAGCAAAGCCAAATCCCCCTGCACAGCAGGCCGCACATCCTACTCCGACTGGCGTTGCACAAAACCAAGGACCTACACCCATTGCATCGCGTAATCCAGCAGCTCCGCCTGGGCCAGTGCCCTATCATCCTCAGAATCAACATCAAAATCCCCATCCTCCCGGAATACTATATGGCCCCGGGCCCCCAGGGCAACAAGGGACACATCCCATTAAGGCTAAGCATACCCAGAAGGTTCCTCCGCCTCACAGTGGATCTTTCCGTCCGCATTATTCACAGCCGGTTTCACAGCCTGCGAGAATTGATATCAAAAGTGTGGTTTTCGAGTTTATTCTACCCGCGGGCTCAAATAATGGCCCGACTGGAGATCGATATTTATTCCCAGAGAATATGATATTGGATTTTTTTCCCGGGAATACCACAGTTATTGCATCTTTCTTAGCTATCAAGAAGATTGGCCCGCCTGGATCATCGATGGAATTTAATAAGAAAGCTCCCGTGAAGGTAAGGGGTAAAAAGGCCAAGCTGCTTCAAACTGCAGCTGCTTCCAACCCAAGCGAAGGTCAACCCAACACTCCGGCTCCGCAACTAGAAAACGAAGATACCAAAGACGCAGATATTGCAGCTGGGGAAGATTCCAAGGCGGCAGATGCCCCGTCAACCCCCAATACTGCGCCCTCGCCTTCAGGGACTAAACCTAAAGCTAAGGAGTCTAACGTTAAAGAATACTACCAGCCTGTCACACTGCGATTACATGCGAACAACCCCAGGACACTTGAACCTCTAGGTCGTGTTGTAAAATCTCCGAGTGAGGTGCGGGATTACATGAACAACGTTATGGATAAGATTGAACGGGCTGATATTGAGTACCTTGCCTTCAGGCTGCCACGATACCAGCGACGAGGCCCCAGTGCTGCCACAGGAGATGAAATAAAACCCATAGGCCCTACTCGAGGCTCTTCGAAACATAATGGGGCAGAGGATGAGTCAGGTGTGGCAACTCCTCGGGCAGTGGATAGAGGTAATGGTGGTAGTAAACCGGTCGAAGAAGAAGTGCTGCAGAATCATTATGATCTACCGTCCGGCCTCGTACCACTCAGAGCGTGATTCCTCTTTGCCAGTTATGCATTTTCGGCGTTTTATTTATTATTTTTATTTTTTGGGTATTATGAAAGTCGAAGCATTTCATCAATTAGCATGAATTAACAGGATAGAGTGCATTATTTGGAGAGGCGTGGCTCAAGATAAATAACATTTTCGCAACTTAGCTATTACCATTACTTCGTAAACTCGTTAATTGTTCCCCTTGCTTGACTCTGGTAGTGTCTCCATGACGGCCCCTTATCGGTGTCTTGCTGAATCCCCAATAATACCAGCCATTTCCAACAAGGCCCTCCCAGTCTGCTCCTCAGAATCACCACCACCAACATTGAGATGTATCTCCCGGCGTCTTTCGGCTTCGCGAGCTTCAAAAGACCAATTGGCTTGCTGGCGCGCAATGGCATCAGGTATATCCCCATTTGCAGTAGAGGCGCGGCTGTGATTGAACGGCGACTGTGTGGGCGTGGACGTCGTCCGTACGATCCCCCAAACTTCTATGGTATAGATTGATATTTTGATCGTCTCACTCTCTGCTTCGCATGAGGAGCGTGATGGGGACCAAGTTGCAAGTCCAGGGGGGAGAAACACGCCCTCTTCATGGCTGAGGCCATTGGACATGACAAACTCAGCGTTTTCCAGAGCAGGATCAATCCACATGCTACCACTGCCGGCAGGTGTAGGGCGACTTGAATCCATCGATGTGCGAGTTGGCGGAGGTATTTTGCAGCCAATAGCTATACCAGACTTGGTAGAAAATGATACCACGGGTAAGTTCGCTTTCAGAGAATTTATCGACGGAGAACCCTGCATCATGACATGTCTGGGGCTTAATTGGAATAAGCAAGGTAATTGCGACTGATCAGAGGTGTCATAGTGGGATGCAGATCCAAATGTAGGCGATCTCCATGTGTGTGGAAGATATGCTCCAACAGTTATTGTATCAGCTTCACCAGCAGAAGGATGATTTAGAGCGCCTGTTACTAAGATAACACTAGGGGCATCCCAGGTAAGAACATTATGGGAAAAGGACGTCAGAGATTCTCCATGGGTATTAGAAGAAAATACTCCATGCAGGCGTATTCCATTCTGCAGAATGTTTGGGATAGGGGATGCGGTTGGAAGGAAGAAGGAAAGGTGGGAGATTATCGCGGAGTCTAGGATGCAGGGTTTGAAGGATCCTGGAAGGATTATTGCCGGGTCTGAAGGTGTGGGTGATAACTCCGCGTGTTTTTGTTTTTCCTCATTGACTGAGCAAGTCCCAGAGTCTTTTCTCCTGGATAGATCAAGATTTTTGCTGAAAAGAAGATGTTCAAAAAGCGCGGTTAGAGGGTCAAACATATACGGAAGAGAAGTTGAGATCACCCAAGAGAAGGTCTCATAATCTATCCCGTTGGTACGATCTCCAGCGTCGAATGATGTGAGGATGCTGTCGACAGAGCAGCGAGCAGACTTCAATGACTCTTCATCAAGTTGAGAGAAATAGTCGGTGGTCTTTTCAAAGGCGCGTAACGGAGCTATGATGACAAGCAGCATTAATAACCGTTGAAACGTGTCAAATGAAATTCGAGCTTCATAGACTGTGCGATCGATACGCTGGTCGTGTTTAAATACTTCAATAGCATCCAATGACTCAAGTGCCGCAAGAACTAGATCATCGTCGTCATGGTAGTCGTCGGTATCATTTGAAGGCTTGTCAACCGAGAACCCAGCTTCGTGGGGTTTGATTTCAACGGGACTTTGCTCAAGATCCCCAGCTTCAAGAGAAGGCTCTTCTTTTCTTCCAACATCAGCCAGACTTCCAAATAGCAACTTAATACGATCTTTTCGCCCTCTGCGCAAAACCTTTCCGTAACGGTCGGTCAGGAGGACAATCACCTTCACCATGGCATCAAAGGTGAGCACACTTGGAGCTAGGGTATTTTGAAAAGGAAACGCTCCGAGGTAAGAGACCATTCGAAAAATGACAGGGCCGGCATCAAAAGGCCCATGACCAAGCGTCTTGTCTCCATCTGGTATGCCCAGGAATTTGGATAGAACTTCTTCGTTCCAGTATCGAACATCGTCTTGTTTCAAAGCCAGCGAATTGAAATTATCTTTCAGGTGGGCTAATTCCAGTGGTGTGAAGCATTTTGACGCAAACCGCTGAGCCAGAATACGGCTCATTTCCTCTGTGAATCTTTAGTTACACATGCTCGTTTATTGCTACAGGCCTCATTCATGCAGAGTGACGCATCATACATAAACTGGTTTCTCTGACTTACCAGGTGATGTTCCATGTCCTTTGGTATCGGTTGACTGGCCAGCACCCATAATGGCTGGAACTTGAGTAGTATGAGGTAGGTAGTCTAGGTACTATACTCCGTAGAGCAGTGTAGCTATCAACATCAGCCAGGCGGTTACCGCACTAGTCACTCAGGTACTTGGTGGAGATTGGTGATGGTACTAGTTAATCTCGGGGATATTCTGACAGTTATACGGAGTATTAACTACAGAAACGGGTGGGTGGATGCGTCCCTTTTAACAATTCCACACAAATGCCATTTCTAGTCAATTTCTCGGGAATTTGTCATGATCGGTGATCGAATGCCAACCTTTCGCCTCCAAGTTGTTGCCTTGGATGTTTTTGCTGACGAAGTTGGCTTGGAAACGGCGAGTCACGTGGAAGTCGCATGACACGTCATGCTAGTCTATTTTAGGCTAGCGCTGCTGTGTTCTAGACCCGCGGCTCTTCCTCACGTGGATATTTCCTAAAATGGGGAGATAAAAATAGAAACATCTTTGCTGCGCTACCACTAGATAAATCGTCATATTCCAACAAACCTTTTTAAAACCAATAAATACAGGTGTGTCTATGAGTTATATAGCCCAGGAGATAGCGATTGAAGGTGTAGAAGTATCATTGGCAACTAGTAGATGGCTATCAAACAAGAACAACACCCACACCGTGTCTCTTGCGCTCGTCAGGCTCATTGTTGCTATCGACTCCACCAGCGATAGGGGCTGTTCTATAATTGAATAGATAGTAGTGAAGCTGACCGTCTCCAGCACCAAACTTGAGCTTCTCAAGGAACAGAGGGTTATCATGTAACGTCAGGGCATTGAATACATCAAATTTCTCCTAAATATATTGGTCAGCGAATGGGGATATAGAGTGAACTTAGGTGAATAGGGGACTCTTACCCTCTTAGCGATGATCAAAGCGTCATTAATGAGTAACTGCAATCGCTCTTTTAGCCCTTTTTCATTTTCGGCGAAAGCTGTCTCCGTAGAGTAGTAGTACAAGTAAGCCGCTCTAACATTGCTATGTCTCTCGTTCTGGATCACAGAGGATTCCAGAGAATAAAATGAAACAAAGTCTGTGACTTGATGGGTATCCTTATCTTCGACGACGAATGAATATACGACAGTCTCGGATGAGTTTTCTTGGTTGATGAATAGATGTTTGGTCTCATCCTCACTGAAAGTCTGCGAGAGGTCAAATCGTTCCATGTAGCGGTTTAAAAGGCTACACACTGCGCTGACATCCTTGACTTCCATTGGCCGTAACCCCGGTGTGGCCGTCGCCGAAGGTAATTGATTTCGTGCAACCTGTCGTGCTTTTGTAGAACCCGTTGGTAGACCAGAAAAGCCGACTTCATATAGCTTCAGCCAATCCAAAGCTCGGTGGTAGTAGCGGCATGAGCTGATTGGCGTGGGCAGAACGATACCGACTGTATAGACAGCTTGAAACACCCCTCTTAGGTAGCACCTTCGAGTTATTTCCTTGATCAAAACCGGCGCCAAACGCTTAGATCGTAGCTTTTTGTGGACACATAGGAAATCGATACCGACGGATCGTATTACTTTTCCGCGCACACAGATTTCGATAGGGATGCCACAAATCGCCGCCACTAGTTTTCTGGACTTTGAGGCTCGAACTCCAACGTGCCAATCGCTTGTCCATCCAGGCGCCTTAAGTGCCCTTTTGCAGAGTTAGCTAGGCTTCGTTGAGCAGCATGACGCACACTAGTGTAGAGTACCAACCAGTTCAAAAAGTCCTTCGAGTAGTTAAACCGGAACATCTCACTCTCATCTTCCACGTAATGGTCGCTCAGTAGCTCATATAGCTCCTGTGTCTCTTTGTCGTCGTTCAGATCCAGCGTAACCCACTCAAACCCCTCAATCAACGGGCCAGGTGTCTTTGGGACAGTCTCAATATCAACCTCTTTAATCGGCCCGTCCACTATATCACCTTTGTCGTCGAATCTTATGACTGGCTGAGTCTGCCAGAACTTGTATGAAGCCATATCCTTCTTGTTTTTTGGGTTGACCGCAAGCCCTGCCAGCAAGTCCCTGATGTCCATCTTCCGCATTAACTCTGCGGCCTTCTCGCTATCCATGCCAGCGAACTCACCCTTCAACGCGGGATTGGATTCCATCAGCGCCTGCGCAGCCTTCGTGCTGAGCTCTATCGTCGGGGTAGATTTCGACGGTGCCTTTCCCTTGCCCTTGTCACCGCCGCTGCTAGTAGTGGTTGAGCCATTCTTGCTTGTACCATTGTCGGGGACGTCGTTCTGCTGGCCAGAAGCCGGCTCTGTGTCTTGCTTGTCTGCCATGCTGCGGTCAGCGACTTAATTGTTAGCTTGCTTCCTAAGGTGAAGAAGATGGTGGTGGAGATGAGGGGCAGAAGGTGTGCGGGTTCGGCTTTATTTAAAGATTTGTTTATTAGTTAACTCGTTAACTAGCTGGAAGGTTCCCAGTGTTCATCATGTGGTTGTGACCCCTGGAGTTTCTCGTTTTCTTCGTCTACCACAATTTCGTCATAGGGCATATTCTTGTATGTGACATTCTCGAGATGATTTGGTTAACTACACTTCAGCATTCTCCGATCCATGGGCATAAATAGCGGCTATTATAGTAGTCGTTAGACGTTAGTAGCTACTCCAGCTCCACTGAAATTAACGTATAGATGTCTATGGGATTGTCCACCACTGGTCGCATCTAGTACTCGAGCAGGCAGGGAATATGCAGGGTGGAGAGGACAGGTTTTGGGGCAGAGACTACGGAGTACGTCTAGATCAATATTGATAGAGTGATATGGTCGTGCGTATGTGAGTGATCGAGTGACAGGAAATGTGGCGCTTGCTAGTTAAATAGAAGCACTTCCAGGCCCTGATATCAGCGGCGCAAGGCTCTATGCAGAAAAGCAAAAAAAGACCCCGTTATTGAATCATGTTTCAAGTTGAATGAGAACACCGGGCGAGAATGCAATTAGGTGTCGAAGGTAAGCATCCGAAAGGAAATCTAGCTGGGTGGAGCACTGCTCCACGTTCACTTAACTCGGGCAGTTGTCTCTAAAACTTCAAGGAGGCCGCCGATAAGGTGTAAGCTGCCAGTTGCCAATACGCTGACGGCAACGTCGTCCGTGGAAGAGTTCTCCCTGTTGTCTGCAGCAGCTATACTGCGCGCAGATTCCACGGCCTCTTCTATTGTGGCCTTGACTTCAACTTCAGTGTCTGGTGACAAGCTACGCCATACATTCGCTAGATTATTCTGGACACTGAGCTTCTCGACATCAGAGGCGTCTGTATTGATACTCACGAGGTCCGGTCGGTATCCTGCCTCTTTGAAAGTCACATTCGTGCAAAAGATAGCGTGAGTGAAGACGCAGTTCCCAGCAGTCAGTGCCTTGTGAAGGGTATTAGCCAGTGCGGTACTGTCTCGGGTCTGCTGGTTAAAAATCAAGATGCAAGGTTTCCTTTTGGTTTCCGTGGGCCGTGTCTGTGTATATGGCAGGCTAGAGAACCATTTCCCAGCAACTTCGATGCTGTCGGCCGTATGTCCCCCATCGATGTGCCAGACCAAATCCTCTTCCTTTCTAATTTCGCATCGGCCACCAAGCTTTACTCCCTCGAGACCAGCCTTGAACTTTTCGGGTAGAGGGTCCTTGTTGACGTACGATGGCACATCAGGGAAGTCGAGTTTTCTCAAAAACGAGCTACAGACAGCTACAGCGAGCTCTGCATTTTTGTTTTGAAACTCGCCTGAGAGGCCCAATGAGATCTTTCCGGGGGTGAGGTCCGGGTGGCCCTGTGCAACATGCAGTTGGGTCTTTCGCTCATCCGCCCGTTTTCGAAGGACGTCCATTGCAGCTTCAGGCTGTGGTGCAGTATAGGCCACGGTTCCCGGCTTCATGATCCCTGCCTTATGCCACGCTATTTCTTCGATGGTCGAGCCCAACATGGCCACATGATCAATCCCCAGGCTAGTAATGCCTTCGACCACGGGATTCACAAGAATATTCGTTGTGTCATACTCCCCGCCAATACCACACTCGATAATCGCTGCGTCTACGTTCTCCCTCAGATACGTGTGGAATGCCATAATGGTAAGGTATCGGAAGTAGTTCGGCTTCATATTCGGCCCTTTCGGATCCTGCCCTCTGGTACGCGCATCTTCTTCGAGCAGGTCCCAGACTTCAAAGAAGTATTGAGTAAACTGCGCCTCCGTTAAAGGAGTGTTATTAATCTGTATCCGTTCCCGTACGAACCGAAGATGAGGAGAGGTATAAAGACCAATCTTTTCAAACTTCGGCGTTGACTGTAAAGCTGGCTTGTCCGCATCCTTTTTGGGGTTCAGGTATTGTGATAGTATCGAGGATATAAATGCACATGTCGACCCTTTGCCCTTGGTACCGGCGATATGGATTAAATTCAATCGATCAAAATCGGATGGCTACCAGTAACAATGAATATGAATTAACAGTTAGTACAATGCTCTGGAGCTTTTCGAGGGGACAATACACTCACTTTGTGTCCTATTTTCTTGCACCACTCTATTGTTTCCGGTATCGATTGCTCGTTAAGAATACGACCAGACTGGCGCATAGCATTAATAATAGAGAAATTGGTTTGAAGCGAATTCAACGCCGCAATGGCGGCCTATAGAGAGAGAATACTGTCAGTTGAAGGAGCCGTGATGAGTGAGTGGGGGTTAGGTAGTGTTGACACCGGTACATACCCCATATGTCCGATCCATTGTAGAAATCTGGCGGCAGGACCGCGATAGATAGCGAGGAGTATGGAATTTAAAGACTATATGAGACCAATGGTTTCTGATTAGCATTGAGGGTGGTGTGAAGAGCCGGTGGTGTTCGTTCTTGTTCTTCCTTTGTCGTTGTCGCTCTTCATCCCTCCTTTCGACGTTTCGGACCGAATAGAACTTTTTTTCTCTCTTATCGGGGCTTATCGCTTTCCTGCAGGAACAGCCAGACATGCATGGTTAACTATCCGAACTAATTGACAGGATATTTAGTCTTGAGGCAGCCCACTTATCGGTGTTGTAGAAATACTGGAGAAGAGTAAGGCAATATTATAACTTGTATTAAAAATTTTTGTTACTATCGACACGAATGGCCCTTAGGTGGGAAGAGAAAAGGTCAAATGCAAAAGGAGCTGCACTTATGCACACGCTCAGTACAAAAGAAAGAGAGAAGAGAAACCCAGTCTATGATTATGATGCCCATCTACTCTATCCTCTTTTTGCCTTCTTCCATAAAGCCGAGACGTGCATTACTCACTCCTCGCTGGCGTCCCATGGTCGGTACAAAGTCACCGATGAGCTTATCCTTGCTCGCCCGACGAAGGGCTTCTGCATATCCTTCCGCTCCTGCTGCTGGAGTGTTGAGTTTTGGCCAGTTGACCTATATACAGCAGATTAGCAAAAATGGATAGATGTCTCGAGATTTGAAAGGCAAACTTACATATAGCATGCCGTGAGAATGAATAAAATTAAGACACCAGGTGGCAACTACTATCCAAAAGATAAGGAAGACTCTCAACGGCCAGGCGGTAGAGTCTGGCAGCTGGCGGGTAAATGTGGCTACTAGGATCATGAAGATTGCTGCACCTAGGATGTACGGTATGGATTGGATGACGAGGGGTCTTCGGTCAGCAAATACATATGATGCGGTGCTGGAGGGAAGGTAGGTGCCGTGGAAGAGATCGAACGCATCTTGTCTCGGACCATCCATAAAATTATTCAAGATATAACGGGTGATGGAATTGTTGCCATCCTGAAGAGCACCGGCCTTTGTTCGTTCACCGGTACGAGTGAAGTCAGTCTTTAATGCACCGGTTCCAGAGTATGACTTTGAGACTACATCCGCATTATCGGCCCATATATTTCGGAAGAGGTCTCGGAAGGTCAAATCATCGTCAGTCTTCTGCCCTGGCTGGAGGATGCCACAATCGATAAATTGGCGGGTCAGGGTATACCGGCCAAGCATGCTTTGAACAACGTTCGTACGGTCTAGGCAGTCCATGCAGTTGGTTCGGACGACAGAGGACTGCATTCTTCTAGCCTCCAAAGTACCTGATGGGTTGCCTAAGGATTCAGTGCCACTGAAGTACTGGCCACGCTGCAGACCCTCGTTAAGTTGGTTCAGGAGAAGCTCTGCTCTGTGCCACTGTAGCCCCTTGGTTTCATTATGAAAGTCGAAGTATATGTAATGAAGACGGTCCATCAGTTGCTCTTTACTAGAAGACTCTAGCGTGTGCACCTTTTCAGGAGAGAGCAGGTCGGATTCCTTGGATTCTGTTGGTGAAGACAAAAGTAACCTTACCATCTGCTCATAGGCCTTTTTCATCTGTTCTTCACGACCCTTCTGGTTGACCAGGTTGACGAGGAAGTTCTCTCCGTAGGTCTTGATTTGGTCCGAGAAATGTTGTCGAGCTGCCGAGGCCGCCGCGTCGACACCACGCACAGCAAGCTTTGGAGTGTAATGCAGGTTGTTCACTTCAGCCCAGTAGACAGGGATACTTCCTCGAGTCTGAACAAAAGACAGGACCTGGAGTTCTTTGTGGTTCTTCTCTCCCGCTTTGCTGTCTCCTACACCCGACCCTCCTGCAAACCCAGAGACTGCGCCGTTGGAGTCATTCAAAATAGCAATCTGCTCGGTTTCGTTGTAGTTCGAGACATTTCCGTGTTCATCAATTCCACGGGAAAAATATCTGGTACCTGCTCTGAATCTCGAGCGGCGAGTTATAAGAGCAAAGGTAAATGGTGTAGATTTGACCTTGGCGGTAGTTATGCGCAGCATGCCGAACATGACGGGTAATATAAATGGATCGACATCTGACGACTGTCCACTTCTAATCCCCGTGTGTTCTGATAGCCCCGTGCTAAAATCTATCAGGTCCGTCTGTATGAAACGGTTCCAAAAAAACCGGTCGTCGGCTCGTTTCCAAAGGGGTAGGGAAAGATCACTCTGGGACTGGCGCTGGAAGCTGTTTGTGATATCGAGCGAGTAGGAGTAATACATCGGTCCCGTGGCTAGCTGTTTCTTTAGGAGTGCTAGGTAGGCATCTTCGTCCGGATCGTGGAGCGGCGTCTCTCGAAGAGGTAGGAATTCAGTCGCAACAACTTTGTATACCATATGCCCTCTCAGCCGGCCCATCGGCTGTTCTTTCGTAATGACAATAACATACTTGTCTATAATAATTAGCATCAGCTTCCCTCTGTAGACTAGGATATCAAAAAGGGGGAGGGGGGGGCATACCAAGCTTCAGTTTGACAATGCCCAGTATCCCAGCAATGCTAGAGACTCGCTTTGCTTGATGGGTAGACGCCTTTTCAAGTCGCAAGTCACCCGTCGGCCGGTCTATGACCAAGCTGTGGCCCGTGGAAGCAGAGGCCGATCTGAAGGCATAGCAGTGCGGCGAGGCATAGAGGTTGATGTCGCGGAAAGGGAGGTTTGGCGACATCTTTTTTTTGTTTAGGATAGGCAGGCAGGGCTTGTTAGGCTTGCGTGTGTAGAATGAATGATAATAATAGCAGGTATCCTCTGTATTCAGAACATGGTGTCTTGATCCGTCCGCTGGTGTTTAGGGTGCAGCAGGTCAATGACCAAGAAGCGCTTCCTCGTGAATGTTGTTATCTTGTGGACCGACGCAGGAGGTTGGCGACGAGCGGCGCTAGTAGTTGACACTGAACAAACACCAAGTTTATGACGTGGTGGACTCTTTTGCTCGGCTGTTTCAGCCACGGAGCTGATGATTTAGTTATTTATATCAACACGCAGTATGAGAAGACTGAGTATGGAGCAGAAGGCTCATGACTACTCAGTTGTTTCTCATAAGGGCGTTGGAAGGGGGGATTTTCTGCTTTTGATGTTGAACTACTAGTTAGGTACTCCGTATTGACATGATAGAACTGCCTACGAACTACGAGGATACCCCTGGGCCACGAAGGCCAAGTTAAAGGTTTGAAATGCATGGTTTATTCGGATTGTTGCTGTCGAATTTATATAAGTGACGACGGCCTGCAGAAAGCCTAACATTTGTTTGCTGTATTATTCTCTTCAACCGCCGCCCTGATACCCACAGGTATAAGATCCTTACTGAGCGAAAAGCCCCTTGAGGATGGAGATGTTGGAGCTCAGAAACGCCTCTTCAATCTCCATGCATCTTCCCCTGGAGGAAAGGAGCAGCTGGCCGTTCCTCGACTTATCCGCCATCAAGAGAACCGCAGAACGAGCTACCACCTCGGGACTCTGGAGAACGCCGTTGGTCGCCTTGACGAGGTCATGCTCTACTATCGCTGTGTCCGTCCATGCGGGAGCCAGACCGTTCACTCGGATGGGGAATCTGGGGTGAAGAATGGAAACCAGTCCTCGAAGCAGTCCTAGATATTGTTTCAGCTTTCAGCGCTGTGATGACGATGCCGTGGCGTATACGGGTGTTTCTTTTTAGAGGCTAACTTACCGTGTACTCCATTTTTGGCAGCAACTTTGTCGCTTCCAGTCAGCCATATGCACCTTTTTGAAGTAAGTTTGATGGATTTTACTTACTGTAGTCAACGACAGGGAACCTTTGAGTGCCTGGACAAATATCATCAGCATAACAGCTTGCCGCCTCGGTCAAAGGCCACACTTACACGCTGCAGATGAATTCAGCACTATACTCCCTCCGCCTTCCTGCTTCTTCATATAGAAGACGCCCAGCTTGGCCATGTTGACTGTGCCCATCAAGTCAACCTCGAACGTCTTACGACTAGGCTCGACGGGGTCCCCATTTGCATCGACGCTTTCGTCAAGGTAGTCTACAGACCCTGCGATGCCAGCGTTGCAAAAGACGTGATCGATTCTTCCATGCTTGTCCTTTGCCAGTCTGAACAAAGCACATAGGTCTTTCCATGAAGTAATGTCCGTCTTGAGGTAGGTGATGTTGCTGTGGTTCAAGACTTCCTTTGGTGGTTCATTGATATCGCCGATGACCACTTTAGCCCCTTTGCTTAGGAGGATGTTGGTCGTTGCAAGGCCGATTCCTGCTGAGCCGCCTGTATCCAGGTCAATGTATGTTAAGCTACATGCCCATGCAGTCTTCGTCTTCGTCGAATATCCGCGTAGGAGGTATTAACGGGGAGATGCGCATACCAGAAATGATAACGACTTTATCTTCAAGGCCAGTGAGGGATTCCTCGGTGATATCAATTGGGCCGGGCATGGTGACTTTTAAACACTTGATTTCGTTTTAGAAAAATAGATGAATCTGGGGTATTACTCTGTATTTGCAAGGAGAATGAAAATGTATTTGAGTCGATGGCAATCGCGGGGGATCTTCTTCCCTTTTGAAGCGTGTCTTTGCCGCCGCAAGACTAATTAACTATTGAATACTCGGACTGCCCAGACGACTAGAATACAGAGCCACAGCGGATCACCAAGACATATAGTAGACAAGGTTTAGCCGACGTGAAACTTATATAACTGCAATAGGTAAAAGATGGAAGATAACTGAATGGTTGCGATTTGCGATAGCGCTATGCCAAGTTGAAATTGATGCATGTAGATGTCCTGATATCCATGCTGAAACCGATATTTTCCCATCCCAAGCCTGCAGCAGTGAAATGAAGTGCGATGATACACCATAACGCCAGGGCTTACAAGACATAGAAGCCATAATAGTGTACATCGGCCGTCGTGAAGGGGTATATAGATGTAACGACGAGTCCGGAAGATAACAACAATAATAGTAATAATAATAAAATGCAGGCATGGCACGTATGTGATCATCTCTTCCCCCGATACCGTCCTCGGGGATATCTGCCATCTCGACCACGGTTCTCTCTCCTCCATTCGCGCTCCCGCTCTTCCTCGCGCTCCTGTTCCTCTCTGATCCTTGCTCGTTCGATCTCAATCTCCTCCTGCGTCTTTTCCACCCTGACTGTCGGTTTGGGTAAGTTCTCCGACCAGCGTGGGTGAGCACCCTCAGTGCACGTCTTTCCAGCAGGGCAGAACCCGGCAAGATAAAACCGACACAGCTTCCTCCTCACGTGTCGTTTGGCACAGATAGGGCCCAGCGGACAGAACCCTTGGTCATAGTGTTCGCACTGCGGCAACTTTGCGTCTCCAGAGAGATGCTGGTACAGACAGTCGTCCCCGTTGGGGCAGAATCCGTTACGAGAGAAGGACTGGCATTCCGGCATCCGACGTAGGTTATATTCGTGCAAGTATTCGCATTTCAGCCCTTTCTTGCACAGTCCCTTGAGGTAATGTTTGCATACCAGGCTTCCGTGGGTGGATGAAGGGGCGATAGCGGGAGAAGAAGAGGTCGATATGCGAGATGGAGTCGGGTGTCGTTCAGCGCAGAGCGGGCCGAGAGGACAATGGCCTTCACGGTAGGCCTTGCAGACTGGCACATCGGAAGCAAGGGCGAAGCTAAAGGATTTGGCAACGAAGTCTGAAAAGGCAAACTTGGTGAAATTGGGGTCTCGAGGCGTATCGGGAGAGACTATCCGATCCGCAATTCTCTGGACTTCGGTCATGACGACGACTTTGGTGACGGTGACAGCGACGGTGACGATGGCTGGCTTGCTTGCTTGCTGGCGTCTCCTTTTCCCCCTTGCTCTCTTCTTTTGCTCGCTGGCTGGGACCTTGGGAGTGTAATTATAACATGAAACGAGTGTCTCGCGTGCCGAGAAGCCTGGTCTAGATGTGTATCTCTGTCTATCCCGTTCCCCAGTGTGCCTTGCAGAGCTCCTTGAGCTTGCTGTGCTTGTTCTTTTTTCGCTGCTGCTTTTTTGTGTTGGAAGCAAAAAGCAAAGGAAGAAGAAAACACTTGTTATGTAAGCATAGGTCACGTGCAGTCTTTGATATAAAACTTTCGTCTGTGCAAGAAAGCGACGAAAAAGAAAAGGGGTAAAAGGGAAGAAAGAGAAGACGAAGAAGATGAAGAGCAGGAGGATAAAAGAAGGACAAGGGGGGGGATAAGTAAGCGAAGGCTATGCGCGATGCTGAGGCATGGCATCCGTCATCGCTGAGTGTCTAGGCTTGGTCTGCAGCGCGCCTCGTGTGAATACGAGAGAGGGAGCCTGAACACCCTGCCAGACGCACAGAGGGAGTCGAGAGCGCAAGGAAGCCCGCCATAACCAGGTGCCAGTGTGGTGAATTATGCTTGCTTTTTCCCGAAAATACAACCTACGGTCCGTCCGCAGTCGCTGGTGCTGGTGTTTATACTTAGGCTACCCCAAGTTTATACTCCGTACGAGGTGCACCCTGCCCTTGCCTGCCCTGCTCTAGGATAGCATCATGTATCAGCCGACCTCCCTATATCTACCTCCCGCCGCCTCCAGGGCCATCCGCTGGCTCGAGGCGCCGGTAGGGGCATCTTACCACACTGCCTCGACCAGATTGCTATCGTGAAAAGAAAGACGAAGACGAAGAAGCAAAGATATGTCCACGGAGAGAGACTCCAGGACGCCGTAACCCCTTTTTAATAATAATTATACAGATGCAACCTTTCTTCTTCTACAACTGCGCACACCACCGTTCCATATTTATTTTTCTGCATCTTCCTGCGTTCAGCCTGGACGAGATAACTAAACGGCTGAGTTATATTTAATCCGTTCGCTCCCGCTTCCCCTCCCCTGCTGGCTCGTTCATGCATGCGAGGAGAGCCCTTTTCTTCTTCCTCTACTCCTTAGTTGTCGGTTTTTTGCTGGTCTCGTGTCCATTTACCAGAAAGGGCGTCCCTCAACACTAACCCTGCATATTTTTCTCTCTTTCTTCTCTCTCCTTCATCGCTTCTCCTTTTTCTGTGTCTTGCCCTTTGGCGAAGTTGAAGAACAAACAGTTCGGTGTCTCTCGTCTCTCGTTTATCGTGCATGTGTTAAGATGTTTCGGTACAAACCGTCGTCGTGGTTCCCCTCAGGAGACGCCATGGACGACCAGACGGCTCAGGTGGGCGCCGCATCCATCAGCTGTATCGAACAGTCTCTTTGCCAGATTCCGATATATTCAAATGCCGTCTACTACCCCAATTGGCGGATATACAAGAGCAATCCCCCGTCTTCGCTGAAGTTGGGTTATGTTTCGCATGTTTTTTATGCATTTGCTTGGTGAGATCTTCACACTCCCCCTCCCCCCATCCATATATTTATGGGCGCTCCCAGCGTGCCTAAGTATTGCCGTGTATGCCGGATGCTGGTTGCCGCCGGGCAATTTTTGATTGAGAGGCTGAGACTGACAGGAGATGACGTTTGTTGTCGTGTGCTTTTGGTATAGGGTCAAGCCGGACGGCACTGTATATGTCCGTATACACCCCTCACCTCCCCCTTTTCATCATTTGATGGGTATATTGAAAGAAAATTACTGATAAAATGAACAGTTGAGTGATGAGTGGGCAGACGAACAGATGCCAGTGGACGGCGCAAAGGGTTGTATAAGAGCATTTACCCAGTCGAAACGACAATATCCACAGCTCAAAGTCATCCTCTCAATCGGTGGAGGAGGAGCCGGCAGCGAGAACTTTGCAGCTGTCGCAGCGGATCCAGCGTTGACAGCAAACTTTGTGGAGACAGCAAAGAACCTGGTAGACAAGTTCAGCCTCGATGGGCTAGATGGTACGGAATGATCCACCTGTACCTGCATTCGTGTTGCTCGGATGCGGACCTATAAAAACCGCAATGCTGATTATTCGATGAACACATATCTAGTTGACTGGGAGCATCCTTCCGACCCCGATCAGGGCGCAAATTACATATCTCTCCTTGCTGCTCTTCGAGAACAGCTACCCTCACCGCAATATATCCTATCATCCGCCCTGCCAGCCGGTCAGTGGGCACTGCAACATATAAATCTACATCTCGCGCAGTGTTATCTTGATGTAATAAATGTGATGACATACGACTTTTCTGGCCCATGGGTACCGCAGTGCGGTCACCAGTCTCAGCTCTTCCCTCCCGAACAACCACATAATGACGCCGCTCATCTCTCATGCAGCTCTGCCGTCTCATACTTACTCGCCCAAGGCGTGCCGCCGCATAAGATATTAATGGGTATACCGGTATACGGCCGTGGCTTCCCCGGAACAAACAGCGTTGGACAGTTCTCGTGTCTCGGGGCCGACGGATCAGACAAACCGGCAGATGAGGTTGGAGGTAACGAGAAGGAGGTTGTATTCGACTATTGTGATCTCCCCCTGTCGGGTTCAATAGAGCAGCACGACACCGAGGTCGGGAATGCAGCTTTTTGCGTCGACAATGAACAGAATGCCGGATTCATCTCGTACGATTCACCACAGAGCGTCAAGTTGAAGGCACAGTTTGTTAAGCAGACGGGTCTGGCGGGGCTCTTTTATTGGCATATTGCTGCAGACTCGACTACTGCGGCCAGAAGCCTTATCGCCACAGGGTATAATACTATGCATGACTTGTAGGGGCACTGATTTATATTGGTAGGTATCATTTTTCATCCATTTGTTTGACTGAACAGCACATCGGAGTTAGGGCATTGGTATCATTTTTATTCGTGCATCGGATGGTGCTTAGCTTGTTTGTATCTTCTATTTCGTCCGCTTTGAATAAAAATGCATATACCATATTATTAACCGTGGCTATTATCAATTTATGTCTATTGAGGAGATGTGGTATCGATATTTTATTATCGACCGTTGACCTGCAGCCCAGACCATACGTCATAGACGGCAAATTCTAGGGTTGATCATACCATGATAAGCTTTACACAGACACGATTTCGTTTAGAGTATTTAGAAATTCAGCACTCCCTGGGGCATGAACAGTGTATCTACGATATATCTTGAGCTCTACCTTGCTTGCCTTCAACAAGTCAAGAGGAGTAATTATATTCATACGTCCGGCTTTATTGTTGTTTATGCAGAGGGGCTGCATGAACAAGCATCCTATGCATAGAAAACTATTAAAGTGCTAGGGCATGTGATGAAATAAATATGAACATACCATATCATACCTATACACGTCACTCTGGGCCCAATCCCAACACGGAGGGTGTTGTTGAATCCCGCTCCCAGCCATATATATAGATATATATATATACACTACTATGCAACAATATGTCCAACCACAATCACACAATAAAGTAATATCGACAACAATCAATACCCTCTACACCCTAATCTTCGACACAAGCGTATCACCGATATGAGCCAACGAGGTCTCAAAAGCATTGAAGCTCGATGCCCTCCAATTCGCCCCCTTAGCCCCAGGCTTAGCCTGCTTCCCCATGAACGCGACATAGAGAACATCATGCGTCTCATGGCCGTTATCTCCAGATAAATGCTCGTCGGGGAAACATGCATGGGCAAGAGACATCGACGCTTCCCCTACATCCGTGCCGCCGTTGGTATCACCCCATACACCGTAAAACTGCTGTTTGTTAGATCAACATATCCATGTTCAACGGGTGGTGATAGGGGTAAGGCAGCTTCAGCCTTCAGTTCGTACCAGTATATCATTGCACACCACAGCCACGACGCTGAGTGACTCTACGCCCGAGGCAGAGGGGAGGTAACTTGGTGCAGAGCCCTGGTTACCTAGCACGACGTATCCGTGTTTATTTGAATCTAGATCATCGATGCCGTAGCTAGACACCTCGTGTTTGAAGGCTGTTTGGTCCTGTCCTGATGGATCGTTGGCACAAGCGCCCTTGGACCTGTTGATGCCGTCGCAGTCAACGTCCATGTCTGCTAGGGCCATGCGGTCCGAGGAGCCAGTGAGGTAAAGTATGCCTTCGTGATCGCCGCAGTAAATGAAGCCGCCTGATTGTATAACAAGCAGTTAGCAATTCGGACAAACTTCTTGGGAAAAGGGTATATCGTTATAGGTTGGGGTGGGTATACCGCGTTTGTGTCCGTCGGTGAATCTGGTGCTGCTAAGAGGGGAACGGCAGCGGTGAGTCTATGCAAGCAGCCGTTAGTATGGGGCCATGCATGGTGTCTGTCTGATTGATATATTGTGAATGTATAAGTTACGCCTGCCTTGGCATGGTTGTACAACTTCTTCAGGTTTGCTGGTACGGGACGGCCGGCGGCAGAAGATAGTACAGCAAAAGTCAAAACGGCCACGCAGAGCGCTAACTTGAAAACCTTTGCCATTGTCATTGTGACTTTTATATCTATTGAGAGTATGAATGCTCATTTCCCGTCCATAGACCGGACTGAGCAGGCTGATTTAAAGCAGCAGAGTAAAGAACCCCCATATCCCATTTTACATCTTCATCCTCCATCCCCCACGCCTAGCACAGTATAAGGCCGATATAAGACGGCCATGACCAGCGCCTGCACGACGCTGGCCATGATGGAGAGGCAGCTGATGGGGGACGTGGGCAGCCATGCCGTGTATGTTGTATACGCGGCCACGGACGAGGCTGGAGTTTGACAGAGGCGGTTTCGAGCGAGCAGATCAAGGTGCCGACGGATGATAGACATGTTTCTCAAACATTGGCTGAGGATATATATGTACAGCATTATCGGTTCAGTTGGGTATCTATCGTGAAGCATGCTGTATTCCAGCATGTTGCCTAGGGAGGGTATATGCAGGTCCATAAGACATGCGCTGAAATAACACCATCTGTCGGTGTCAGTATGCAGACAGACATCCGTACCTGCATATACGCCAGTCCACAATGATATAGTTATAGCATAGCTACATCTACCAACCTGGCGTCCTACAGTATAGATAGTATAGGTAGTATCGACTTCCACCTGAGGTCAAAGTCAAGCGGAAAAGCTCAAGCTTAATCTCCTTCTATTTCCGTCAAAGTTAAAACTTACATAATATCCGCATTACTAATACCAAACTCTAACTACCTTAGTCTTGGCCCAAACTCCGCTCTTACTCCGACCGCGCGGCTCCACGCCGGCGGGAACTTCCCTTTTCTCCTATTCTTCCTGGCCTCAACAACTTTCCTATCCTATCGTTAACCCCTTTTTTCTCCCCTGTTCCGGCCCCCGTTTCGCATGATTTAAAAAAAGACGAAACCAGGACCCAACCCAGTTCCATGCCTGTCCTGTCTCCATCAGCCAACCAGGGGCGGGAAGCTCAACAAATTCCGCCTGAGCCAATAACACACTGATTTACACGTCTGACTCGATGCTCCCCCCAAATATTGGGCGAAAAAGCGATAGGTAAGGTATGTGGTATGTGGTATGTGGGATGATGCAAGGTAGAGGTGTCAATTGAACTTTGGTACAATTGGGCGCATGACCGGTTGAGTTTGGTACTGCGTAACCTAAGCCGGTTGGTTTAAAATGCTAGCCTGGTTGGTTAGTTTGCGCTGGACAAACGTTAGTGAGCTGGCCTACTTAAAAACTAGCTGGTGATGGGATGCGATCGAAAGCTAACTAGTGGAAGAAGCTCGCCTATTGAGGGGCGGTTAGCGTTTTAGGGCAGAGGGAGTAGAAAAGGGCTGAATGAAGAATGAAGTGATGTGCTGGTTTTCCTTTTTGTGATCGTGGAAGATCGGCTTTGATGGGCAGGTACGGCGCTGGGCGATGGGCGATGGGCGAGACGCATGCAAGCAATAGTCAGTTAGTTAGTTTTGATGGCGAGCTATGATTTAAGCGGAAAAGCTTGTTATCATGTTTAATTGAAAAGTAAGGAAACCCGGTTGGTGGACACGGTAGTACCACGTTAGGGTAGGTATGCTGAAATGGTTGGTGGTCAATGGTAAATGGTTGATTATTGATGGTTGATGGTTAATGGTTAATGGTTAATGGTTAATGTTTTAGGGAGGTATCATTCGTTTTTATCGTGATATGTATGTATGTATGAATAAAGATGAAGTCTGTACAGAAAATAGAATGCAAAAAACAAACCTGGTGCCCGTCCGGTATATATGATGATATAGCCTTCCATAGATACATTAGATCAGTAAGGTGATGCGAGAAGGGAAGTATGGAAAGATTTAAAAAAAAAAAAAAAAAAAGAAGCAGAAGGGTATTGCGCCGATATTAATTATCTTCCTCCACCGAGGATAGCGGGGACGTTGAGGTCGACCATAAGGGTGTTTGCGGCGAGGGCCTTGGTGTAGTATGGGAGGTCCTTGCCGTGGGCGACGCTGGAGTTGCCGACGATGGAGACGGGGACGATGCCGTTGCGGTACTTTCCTTGCTGGCCGGTCTGTCGGAGGACGTAGGGAAGGTCTGCGTTGGCGAACATGGGGATGTTGTTGTCGCCTGGCTTGATGACGACGTCGTAGAGGTTTGAGGTGCCAATTGGGTGGCCGTCGACGGCGAGGTTAAGGGTAAGGTTGCCCTGCCAGATGTTAGTATATATACAGAAATAGGTAATTATAGGTGAATAGCGGGGCTCACCATGGCAAGAGTAAGGACGGAAGGGTTGGGAATAAAGGCGTTGCCCTTCATGTTGAAGTTGGTGCCAGGGACATTTCCGATCTTGATGTCGGTGATGTTGAAGCCCTTGAGATGGTTCATTCCTAGTAAAGTTAGCTATGTTCATACCACAGTATAGAAAGAAGGGGAAGAATAGCGCACCCTTGAGAGTGACGACCTTGTCGTAGTCGACGTCGGTCTTGGGCAGACTTCCGAGCTTGAGCTTAGTCTTGCCGATGACCTTGAGCTTGAGCTCCTCGGAGAGCATGATGGCCTTGGAGAACTCAGCGAAGGCATCCGAGTTCTCGATGGGGACTTCCTGGTCGATGATGGCCTTGACGCCGTCGTCGGCCTTGACCTCGGGTGTGTTGAGGGTCATGAAGGCGTCCTGCTGGCCTTCGAGGTAGACTTTGGCGTCGAAGGGGTCGAGAGTAGGGTGGTACTTGGACTTGGAGCCGATGACCTGGGTGACCTTGACGTGCAGCGCATCTGGTCTTGGGTTGGTGGTCTGCATGTCTGCGATGGTGAGGGTCGAGTCGGTGACATCTTCCTGCGCCAGCTTGGGGTATGCGACGAATACACTATGACACCGTCAGCATTGAGCATTGGAACATGAACATGTGTTCGCATGAATGTATATATATATATAAATATAGATTGAACCTACATTGGGAGGACGATGACAAGGACGACGACGGCGAGGATGATGAGCAGCAGCCACCAGAAGCGACGGCAGAAGGCGCCGATGCGAGACCCGAGCGACGCTCTGGGGACGCTGTCGATGGTCTCGATGTTGTGTTTGCCCGTCATGGTGGGTAACTTCCGCGGCACTCCGTATATGGGGGAGAGAAGAGGAAGAAGAAAGCGAGGAAGAGAGAGCAGAGAGAGAGAGGCCGGCCGGCTAGCTCTCTATATATGCAAAGCAAGCCCCCGGCACCGAGTAGAGCGCTGGTGTACTTGGGGGGGTCTTGTTTTCCTGTATGTACGAGACGAGACGAGACGAGATGCCGGCGACGGTATATGTATAATGTCGGCTCCAATATATATGTGCGTATATAAGGATGTATATATATACTATGTAATATCTAGAATGAGAGCACCCCCCCTGGTTAGCGCGGAAAACCAAGAGCAAGAGAGCGGCCGCAGAACGTCGCACGATGACGCCGGACTGCATGTCGTCCATGCAACAGAGACGGAGCAAGGAACGAAGAGGGAAGAGGAAGCCGATCCTACCTGGAAGTCCTGTGCCAGCAGCACTCGCAGACGAAGCAGAAGAAGAAGAAGAAGAAGGATAGATACTATTATAACGAGGGGAGCAGCGAAGGTGAGACGGGAGAGCCTGCGACGGTGGGAGATGAAGGGACGGGGGCAGGTCGGGCGGGTTATTATACTTAAAGCAAGCAAGGGAAGGAAAAGCATCAACCATCGTCAACCCATGAGACAGACGAACGAACGAACCAGCACCCAAAAGCAAAGACCAAAAGCAAAGAAAAGAAAAGAAAAGGCAAGAGAAAAAACGAACGAAAGGCATGCGCAGGGATTATAACTGGGGATACATGGAAGCAGAAGAGAAGGAGAACCGTCGGTGGTGGGTAGGAGAAAGGGCAGCGCAGGCGAGCAGCGACAAGCACGGTGGAGGCGACAGTACATGTTTTCTTCTTCTTCCGGGGCCACTAACTGTAAAGCAGAGTAGGCGACAGGGACTACTACGAACTACTACGAGCCAGACGGAGCAGCGTCTCTAACGGGGTCGAGGAGGAGAGAGAGAGCGAGAGGGACGAAGATCCATGGGTGCGGTGGTTGGTGACGGCGGTTGGTGATGGCGGCTGCTGGTTGGTGGTTGTTTTACCCCGTGGAGAGAGCCGGAGATGGAGATGGAGATGGAGATGCGAGATGCACGATGAGTCCGGGGTTGAGTTTGTCTCGCTGCGGGCTTGGGAGCGTGTTCGAGAGCGCTGGAGTCGACCGATGCAGCATGAAAGGGGAGAAGAAGCTCGTGATGCCGACGAGCAAGTCGCATGTCTTGCGTGTTGCTGTGTTTCTGCTTACTTTCTGGCTTCATCTGCGAGTGTTCTTAGCTTCCTTAGCGTTTTAGTGTTTAAAAAGTGTTTTGGGGAGAAAAAGGAAAAAAAAAAGGGAAAAAAAAAAGCATGTGAGGAAAAAGAGAGAGAGAGAAAAGCTTGGGTCGAAGCTTGTTTAGGTAAGCAGGTAGGAGTCCTTTCTCCCGTAGCTGTCTCTTCTCTCTTCCCTC